GGCTGTCCCGAGGGACACTTGCATCCTTATGGCCAGGTGTGGATTTCACTTTTTAGTTGAACTGGAAGAAGTCCTGGTGATGCCCTTGTTGGTGCAGCATCTCAAAGCGGGGGAGTGAGTGCCTGCTCCTCGCTCGGAGTCCTGCACAGGGGACAGGAGCTCTCAGCACTGCCAGTGGGGGGTGGCTCACGATGGGGAGACCAAGACTCCCAAGACAGAGATTCACCTGGGTCACACAGAGCCTGGATTGGAACCCGAGCTTGCCTGGGAGGCTCCCATTCCATCACAGGCTAAGCAGCCCTTCTCTGATATTCATGGGACCAGACATTTCCAACTTGGGATGTTTTCTATTTTGCAATATTTGCATAGACATAATGAGATACTGTGGAGACAGGACCCAATTCTAATCAAAATCCATTGTTGCACATATTCCTCATTCATAGAGACTGAAGATCATTATATCCAGTGTTTTTAGTAATTTTGTGAATAAAACAAAGTTTCACAGTGTGGAAATTTCCACTTGCTGTGTCCTATTGGTGCTGGAAGGTTTTGAATTCTGGAGTGTTCTGGATTTTGGATCTTCAGCTTGGGGACACTCACCCCACACTGGCAGTGCCGGATGTGATCCGGGAGACCATGTGTGGTGCCCCAGACCTCTGTCCCTCCCTGAATAAACAGACACAACACTGCCCCAGGGTGGCTGGAGGCTCAAGTTCACCTGGGTTCTGATGCCAGGCAGTCAGGCACAGCGGCATCCAAACCTCCCCTGAGCCCACCCCAGTTGCTGCCAGCCCGGGGGCCATGCCATCTGACAGCAGCTTCTCAGCACTGCTGGCCATGCAGCAGATGTCCCTCGCCCCCAGGGCTGCATTTCCAGGGCATAGATGATCCCTGGGCACAGCTGGGGCAGAGGTCTCAGCTGTGTCCATAGCCAAACCTGACCGGCTACAGGAAGATGACCACCAGCATCCCTGATTGCCCCTGGCGAGTGTAAGCAGACATTCCATGGAATTCTAGAGCATTCCATGAGCACCCACCACTCGTGGGCATCGTGGGGGCCTCTGCCTGTAGCCGCATAGAGTCCTTACCCACCAGTCTCATTCTAGGTTGGCAGACCAACCTAATCAAGTCAACATGTGATTCTAAAATATAAATGCAAATACACTGAACATACAGTTTTAAAGGCCAATAAATGTTACAGTGCAAATAGCAAGGTGATATGCCAACCAGGAAAGGAGCTGACTGTCAACTATTGCTGTCATTGCCCACACGCCTCACACTCTTAGTGTTCCTCTGAGGATCTGGCTTTGCCTTCCACCTGTCCAGTGATTCAGGCTGGATGAATTCAGGGAGTTTAGGGCAGCCACAAGCCCCTAGCCAATCAGAGCATCCCTCTCCTTGACCACACTGATGACTGGTCAGACATGCATGTGACCTAAATCTGGCCAATGAGATTCAACTCTGGGACTTTTGTAGAGAACAGGAAGAAGGAAGTTGTCACTTCACTGGGCTTTCTAACCTGGAAGGTCAAAGCCCTGTACCTGCTGGGGACCTGGGGAGAGCACATCTAAGCCTGGGCCTCAAAGAGTTCTCCCTAGGTAGCTTCCTGGCAAGGCCCTTTGAGACCCTGGATCCCACTGCACCTGAAGCCAGATGCCCTTGGCTTTCTGTTTTCTGCATGTTTGGCTCCAGTCTTTGAGTTTGTTTTCCCACCACACATATTTTTGAGTGGCCTATTGCAGGACAAAGGGTCTGGGGTGTCCCTGTGAGGTGCACCTCGCACCAGCACTGCACAGCAAGCCCTGTGAGCTGCATGAAGAGCCATGGCCAAGGCATCGGAGGTCTTGGAGAACTTGGGGAAGGGGAGGTGCCGTCATCCTGCACAGGTAGGAGAGGATTGGTGAGGGAGACTGTCCTGGGGCAAGGGGGCTCCTCAGCCACACTTAACACCTTAACCCTTGACGCTTGCATCTCACTGCCATAGGAGTCGATGCCCATCGCTGCCAGTTCCAACCAGACTGGCACAAAGACTAGAGGGAGGAGAAGGAAGGAGAAAAGGACCCAGGATGCACTCAGAGTCACAGAGCTGAGGTCAGCCCAGGCCATGCAGCCAAACAGGGTCACAGGGTCAGAGTTAGGAGATGGTCTGGGCACCCATGCTGGCACTGCTGAATGTCACTGGAGAGCTGTGGGGTCTACAAGGAGGGTTCCTGAGGAGCTGCTGAGGTGCTCCAGGGAGCTCCAGTGTAGATGGGCCCACAGGGCGCCTTCTACAGGACGAGGAGGGCCATGCAAGCCAGCCATGTGCAGTTGCTCGGGCCTTGACTGTCTTGGGTCCTCAATCCTGTTTTTGTCTCCAAGTGGACCTTGGAGGAACCATCACAGTGCCCAAAGCCCACAGGGTGGCATCAAAACCATGATGCAAATGAAATAATAATGAATCCTGAGTGGAATCACTCTGGAGGTTCAGGGTATTCCCCAGCGTATGCACCCCCAGGGATGGCAGCCTCCTCAGAGGCAGGTGCTCAGCATGGTTTCCTGGATGCTCATTTCAGACCCCAAAGCTGTGGGACACTCACCCTCTTGTCTGGCCTGCTGGGGTTCAGCTGTCAGGAATAGGAACTTCCTGTGGTTTTGGGGACCCAGCTCCCCCATTTCCCTCTGCCCTCAGGCCCCTCCCTCCAGGAATTTCTCCTCTCCTTTCTGTCCCAAGGAAGGGGGCAGAAGTAGAGTCTATGCAGGTCCTGCTTTCTCCTGCCCATGGCTCTGAATCAGTTAAACTTGGCTGCCATTGTGCTGGATGCCAGGCTCATGCAGGGCACGGCCCCGAGCTTCCCTATAACACTGTGAACACTTCTGGTTGAGGTCAAAAGGTTTAAGGCTGTGTGGGTGGAGAGGAGCTTTCTACAGGAGATATTGTGAAATCTCTGTGATCCCAGTGAGGCCTGGCTCACTCCACTGCCATCGGCCCCGGCTCCCCTTGGCCACCTGCAGGAGAAAAGCCAGCCTTGCAGCCTGGCAGTCAATGGTCCCTCTGTCATTTTCAGCACCATGGCCATCCTGAAGGGCTCCCAGCTCCCACCTTTGGGCTCTATCATCCTATTGCCTCTGTCTCAAGTACCAACAAACTTCTATTCATCCCTCAAAGCCCAGGTCAGAGGTCCCCTCTTCAGAAGTCCTCCCAGATCCTGAGCTAGCCTCTTACCCATGCCTTCTTTGTGTCTTGTACACACCTTGCACAAAGTTTGAACTCTTGGTAGCCATTAGTTTAGGACAAAACAGAAGGAGGAGGACTCACTGTTTCATGGCAAGCTAGCTGCAGCACAGCTGGAACAAGGGGCTAAACTGTGCTGCTGCGCGTGCTTCCACTGGCCCTGCCTTCTTTGGTGGCTTCTCTCACAGGTGCCCTAAACCCCTTAGAGGCACCAGTCTTCGTGGAGGAACAGGACGGGCTATTGGGAACTAGGTGTCCCAGGCTCACTGCCAGGTGCTCAGGCAGGTCCACCTGAGCACCATGGTCCCATTGAGGCCAGGCTGTGCAGGCTGTTTCTGCTCTGGTATTCCTGCCACCCTTCTTTCCATGGTCCTTGGTTTTTACCAGTGTTGCACACAGAGGATCATAGAGAAGAAATGGGAACTCCCAAGATGAGTGCCTGTGGTCGGGAGACAACACAGGCTCATAGTTTTCATTGCTTCTGAGAAATCAGGGTAAGATATTCTGATGCACAAAGGGAGACACAGCGGTGCAGCCCCCATCCCATGACTGTTCGAGCCCCTGAAGCCACAGCCCTCAGCCCTGTGAGACACAGAGCAGGAGTCCAGGTCAGGCTCCACCCTGCCCCTTGCAGCCTGTACCTTGGGCACCTTGTTTCTGTGAGCCTCGGTTTCTTATCTTTAACACAGGAATCATGCCATATTTACCTCTGGCAGAAAGCGAAGAAAGCTGTGAACTGATGAAAAATAAATCAGATGGATGGTGCCTTTCCTTTTGGCAGACTTTTCACTGGGTTTCTTGAATTTGAGGAGTCTACTCTCTTTTCCTCTTTCTCTGGTGACATTCTTTTCTCAGGAAGCTTCCATGACAGCCAAGGGCTCTGGGTTGTAGTGTAGCTCAGTGGCAGAGTGTGTGCTTGGCATGTGAGAGCCCTGGGGTTCACCCCCAGGTCTGCCAAAAAAAAAATTAAACTGTCTCAGTGAGGGTGGGCAGAGCCCAAGGCCCCTCACCATGCTGGTCAGGACCAGAGGAAGGATTCCCACTTCCGGAGTCCCACCGAGTGTGAGTCCACCTACGCCAATATCAATTCATGACCTCACAAAGGTGCCCCGTGCCTGGGAGAGAGGTACGCATGGGCTTGGCATCAGGATGTCCTGTTCTGTTGGGAGCATTTCTACACAAATTCTGGGGAAAATTACTTCATAATTAAAGTATGACTATAGCTGTCTAAAGCTCCATGTCACCTTGCCGGAGAGCCGGCTATGGCATGTGGAAACATAACTCTGCCTCCAGTCACAGCTGAGGCCTCAAGGGTCCCGTGACGCTGTGGCACTCAATGGCAAGATGGCATCGACTGAAGACGTCCTGGTTCTTTGAGAACTGAGGAGTAAAATAAAAGAGAAAGGTTCACCTGGGGAGGGAGTAATTCCTTGTCAAACTAACTCATCCCACCCACCATTGTAAGAATGCTGTCTGTACAGTCCTCCTCAACAGAAGATCCTCATGACTTAAGATCTTCATCCACTCCTCATGTATTTTGACCGCCACCCCCTAAGTCACCCGATACTCCCTCCAGTTATTGTGTGTACCCAATAAATGATGGCTAGCTCGGAGAGTCCTTGTCTTTGTCCACTCTGAGGCACTGACCTCCCAGGCCCCCATATACTTTGATATTACACAAGTCTCTTGTCTTTTTTCTCTTTAGCCCTTGCCTTCCCCCTTGCTAGGTCATCAGAGGATTGATTGCCCTCCAATACTGTCCCCAACATATTTTTATTTTCATCATTTTTATCCTGTTACAGTAAAATCCAAATGTCTTGATGTTCCTTCAGAAATCCTTGGAAGTCTATTTTCTCCCAGTTTCTAGGACAAAAGGGCAAAGAGACCTTATACTCCAAGTTGCTTGCCCCCCAAGAACAACTTTACAAGAGATGTGTTGGTTAGCTACTACTGTAAAGCAAACATGACCATCTCCATGGTTAAAACACACACACACACAATGCTTATGAGACCATGGCTACATGTTGGCTGGGCAGTTCTGCTGTCATAAGTCTGAGGTCAGCTGTGGGTAGAGCAGGTGGCTCTGCACATCTGACCTGGGTTCTCTCCCATGTTGAGGGTTAGGTGGCTCCAAACTGGCCTGGGCCATAAGTTGGGCTCCTGGGCTCACCATCCTCCAGCTGTGGGATCTGGTTTGTTCTCATGGCACATGGTCACTTCTGCGCTGCTCCATTGGCAATGCACCCGGTGGTCCTGAGGAAACAGGGTCCCTCTTACAACAAGGCGGCTGGGAAGTCACTTGCAGAGGGACATGGGCACTCACAGCTCTGCCACCACTTATGTGCCCAGCTCATCTGGCTCTGCCTGGTGGAAGCTGGGCTCATCTTGCCTCTGGGCAGAAGGGAGAGCCAGGAGGAGGAAGGGAGGGGAGACCGGGGTGGGGCAGCCTTGGGTGCCCTCCTTGTCACCCACACTGAGGGCTGGAAGGCCTTGCTCGGGCACCACGTGTTCCAGGCACCCAAGCTAAGCCCTTAGAACTTCACAGATCTAAGACGGTTCCATATATCAGCTCAAAACAGCATCACATTTCATCTGCCACACATGAGGTTTCCTCACACAAGAGAGGAAGAGATGGCTGCTCATTCATTAGAATGCCCTGACCACAGCAGAGTGGGAACAAGGCCAAGCAGAAACCGCCTGGGACCCAGGCCTGGCCACCGCAGCCCCCCCCCATTCCCATGTCCTGGAGACACAGCTGTCTCACCCCCTCCACAAACGCAAGGGACCCACAGCCAGGACCAGGCAGGTGAGGACAGGCACAGCCACCTCCCAATCACTAGGGGAGGAAAAGGCAAAAGATCCCTTAGACTGTCACCTCTTCCTAGCGACTCAGTGCACTTAGGCGGCTTCGGCAGAGGACTAGGACAGAGACTGGTGGTTTATGAGCAGCAGGAATCTGTCTCTCAAGTCTCTGGAGGCTCCATGTCTGCTGATGGCTGCTTCTGGCTCCCAGATGGAGCCTTTGCACTGTGTCCTCTCATGGCAGAAGGGACAAGGTTCTCCCTCGGCCTCTTTTATAAGGGGACTTGCCCCTTCCTGAGGTCCCACCCTCTCCAGGGTGCCCGCCTCCTGCCGCATCATCTTGTAGGGTGAGGGTTTTGGTACACGCATTTGGGGAGACACTCACAGCAGTGTTGAGTTTGGTCAGCAGACAGGCTCTGTGCTGAGGCTGCGCAGGAGGAAGCCAATCTGTCACCGGAGCACTACACACACTAATGAGGCTCCTGAGTGCCTGAGAGTTGGGGTCTGATTTGCTTTTGCTTCTTCTCCAAATCCCCAGGAAGACACTTTTTTATTGGAGCAGCAGGAAACAGCAACTCTTGTGTGCCTCAAGTGCATAGACAGCTCATACCCAGCCTCATAGGTCCTCCATGCAGCTGCACCAATGACCCTGCCAGAAAGGGGGCATCGTGCCCCATGCTGCGGCTGCTGCACAGCTGGTTGTGATGGGCTGGTTAATTTCCTGATAGCTGGCAGCTGTCGCATTGGCACAGATGGTGCATCCCCGACATACCCTGTGCTGCCCATGCTGAGCCACACCTGCAGGAGTGAACATAAGCAGAGAGCAGCAGATGTGTGCGCCTGGGGGCTTCAGTGTACACATCCCACAGAGACAGTGTGGACAACCCATCAGCATGGCACCCTATAGGCTGAATATCCTGGGCTTCAGCCACCCTCCTGTCCCAGCCTCCCAAGTAGCCAGCATGCACATGGTTTTCAGCAGGCATTATCTCTTAAAACAGCTCAGGAAGATGTTAGAATTTATTACAGAGAAAAACCCCAAAAAGGCAGGCTGTGGAGTCAGGGACACCTGGTTTCAGGCCCCAGCTCTATCCTTTAACAAGCTCTGTGGCTGTGGGCCAGCTGCTCAGCCTCTTGGGGCCTCCTTGCTTGGAAACAGGGCTCTCAGAGGTGTCCACTCTCAGATGGTGGGGAAGGAGAGGCTCATGAGCCATAGGCGGGAACAGGAGGAGACTTCTGTCATGAGGCAGCTAAGTCTGGGCTGAAAGCTGGGCCAATTTGTCCTGATACCAGCAGTGCTACTGGAGCTATCCCAGATCTCTGCTTCCTGCCCTAGCTCTGGTGTCTCCACGTGCCCTGGGCGGATCCACAGGTGGCCTGCCCTGCAGATTCCGCCCCTCCACTTGCCAGCATCTTGTCTGAGGGAGAGGCACCATGCTGCTCAGCACTTGCTGACTGCCAGTGACAGAACGTAGAACTCGTTGGTTTGTGTGGTGAGAACTTTCAGAGGAGTATCCCACTCCCAGAGCAATTAGAAACAGGCTGCAATGGGTCACCTGTGCTGGAGCGCACTCTGTGCCTGTCTTCTCCATAGCCTTCAAGCGGGCTCCATTCTTCGACAGGCTTTTCCTCTTAAGCACAAGATGGCTACAGCAGCACCATCTGTCCCAGCTGCCTCAGCAAAACCCTCAGACAGACTGAGCTCACACCTGGGTCAGGTAGGAACCCTGAGGCAGGGTCTCATCTGGAGTAAGCAAGTGGGAGGCTGATTCCGTCTTAGTCATCTTTTGTTTCTGTAAGAAAACACCATGGGGGCCAGGGACTTAGCTCAGTGGTTCCACCGCCTGCCTCTCAGGTGCAAGGACCTGAGTTCGATCCCCTGTACCCAAAAAAAAAAAAGAAAATACCATGGGAGGAGGTACGAGGGCCTCAGGCTGTACCCTCCCACCATGAGACACAGCACACTCATTGACTGTCCCTGTGTCCTCTCCCAAAGCCATGGATATCAGGATGTCATCTCATCCTCATCACCCACAGAGGCCCAGCTCCACACTGTCAGCATCTGGACCCAGGGATATGGCTCCAGCATGCTCCCAGGATGCCTTTATGCCACAGCACTACCTGTGTAGGTCAACTTGCCATTGCTGTGACAAAATTCTGAGGTCAATGACTTGGAAGGAAGAAGCATTTATTTTGGCTCATGGTTTCTGAGATTTCAGTCTGTGGTTGGTCCAGCTGTTTTGGGGCCCATGATGAGGTGAAACCTCATGAGGGGACGGGGTTTGAGGAGCCAGGAAGCAGAGACAGAGACAGAGGCAGAGAGAGATGGGGAGGTCCTATTACAGTTGAAATCTAGAGTCCTCTGAGCCTGGAGCACTCACCGAAGGGTGTCTGGATGGTGATGGGATCCTGGGGTTGCAGCTGACTTCCTCTTAGGAGCTGTGGTCTGGTTGGAGGAGGTGGTCACTGGGGTGTGACCTGGAAGGGTTTATCTCCCTCCTGGCTCCTACCTGGACTTCTGCTCCCATCCACCAAGCCCAGAGCAGCTTCTCCACCACACCCCTGTGCCATGCTGTCCTGCCTCAGAGTTGGCAGACCCTGGACTGAAACCTCTACAAACCACAACCAAATAAACTTCTCCTCCTTTGAGCTGTGGGGTGTTGGGCATTGCATCTCAGGGACAAGAAAGTGACCAGGAGAGGTCATACCATTCCCTTCCAGGGCAGCCCAGTGACCTGCTTCCTCTGGGGGGACCCCAATTCCCCTCACCTGCACCACTTCCCAGGCACCATTAAGCTAGGAACCCAGGAGTGGATTAGTCCACTGAGGGGCCTGCATGGTCCAGACCCTTCCTCAGGCCCTGCCTCGGACACAGCTGACCTGGGGACCAAGCCTTCACTATCTGGGCTTTTGGGGGGTCATCCAGAGCCAGACCCTAACTAACATCGCCAAACAAAAACAAGAGCTCAAAAAGGAGAAAGGACACCGGAGACAACCACAGCCATCAAGTCCATGTGACCCTATATGGTGGCCGGGTAACTCTGGCCTGTGTCTTCTCCAGAGCTCACCAGGGACCAGTATCCTGCCTTGCCCTCTGCTGTCCTCCAGTCAGTCCTGGAAGATGGCACTGGTGCCCAGCCTGGGCAGTGAGGCTCAGCTCCTGAGCAGGGCACTGGCAGTGCAGGGCCATGACCTTGGGTTCCAGTGGAGGACAAGGGGGAATGGCACAAGACACACACTGCCTGCAGCCTGGTCTACAGTCAGGCTGTGTGGGGTCCATGCCCTCTCCTGGCCTCGGTGTTGGGGACAAGCCTGCCTCGGCCACCTGGTGCAGTGATCTTCTCACCCTTCTGATTCTTAAGTCACAGCCTCAATGTCCCCTCGTTGAGACCCCATCCTTGGGTCTGCACCAGGTCCCCCACCCCTCAGACTCCTCTTCCATGGCTGTGAAATGGGCTTAGGTGCTCCCTGGGTGTCTCCAGATACTGTGGGGACCCCACGGCACAGGAGCTCACATTTATGGGGTGCACACTGACTACATGAACTCACGGATGCATGAGACAAAGCAGGAGGACAGCCATGTCCCCATGTGCTGCCGTTCCAAGGATGAACTCTCAGGGAGGAGAGCAGACTCAGGTGCCAACCTCAGAGCCAAAGGCTTCCCTCTTCCTGCTCCCTCTTGTGAGCAGCACCATCCCCCAGCTCTCTCTATCTGCATCCATCAAGACCAGGCAGGAAATTAAAGTGGGCATCAGGGCATCTGCAATAAGCAGCTCAGGCCCAGGACCATGCATGTCAGGAGGAGGAACATGAGGCCCTCACCTCCGTCTCCAAGGAGGGGCTTGATCAAGATGCTGCAGATGAGCTTGATGATTCCAGCTCCAGATACGGGAAGGTAGGACAGTAGGGAGAAGAGGGGAGGAATGGGAACACAGGGCCTGTCCTCTGGGAGGGACAGTGGCCTGCAAGGTCAGCAGCTCCCCATGGCTTCAGTTTCCACATGAGTCAAAACATGTACATTGCTCTGATCTTTACTATTTCTCTTTCCACTGATTTGAGGGTTTCCTACTTCTAGTTTCTTGAAGTATGACATTAACTGTCTCCAAGAGCTCTCTTCTTGTTTGATGTAGGCATTTGTTCCCCAAAAGCCTCACGGCTGGGTGGCAAGGCTCAGTCCAGGAAGTGACCTGAGCTGAACACAGGACTGCAGCACTCAGCTTCGCTGAGGTCACCCTGGAGTGGAGACCCTATCTCTCTGTAAGTGGGGTCCTTCGACAGAGACACAGAGTCGAGCACACACCCCCAGCCCAGGAAGGAGACTGAAGGAACCCAAGGAGGCCTGGACTCAGGGCCCTGGGATGCCAGGTTCGTGAGCTCTGGTACCGCCTGCTCTGGAGCATTTGGTTCGGGCATCCTCCTGCTGTTTCTCTGCTTCCCCAACTGTGTGGGTTCCAGTGGCACCTTGAAGAGCTGGGCGTGGTGGTGCATGCCTGTAACCCAGTAAGACTCCACTCCAGCATGGCCAGGTTCCTCACAAGACTCTGCTCTCACTGGAGCCCCTCCCTCAGGTTTGGGAGTTTGGAGAACTGTTCCTTGTGTCCTCTCCCCAGGACAGCACCTTACGGTGGGGTGGCTACCTACTTTCCCAACCTTCCCTGTCTATGAAGGGGCTTCTGGGTCCTCAGCACTGCCGTTCTCCAGCTGTGGCCTCAGGCCCCTGTGGTGGATGGGCAGGGAAAGCCGCACTCCCCACCCTGACTCCCGCACTGCAAGCTCAGCAGAGCCTTGACCACACTGGCCTGGTTGCACCTTCTGGCCTTCACTTGCTGGGTTGCCTCTGCACACAGTGACCTAAGGACCGGTTCCTCCTGCAGAGATATTCTGGGGCAGCTGAATATTCAGTGGAGCTGAAGGGATGCACGGATACACAAAGCTAACACAGCTGCAGAGGAGGGAGGCAGGTAGTGTGGGCTGCTCAGCTCAATCCTGGACCATATGAGCTGGGTGACCTTGGCCAAGTCATTTAGTCTCTCTGTGTTCTAGTTTCTTTCTCTACAAAATGGGAAGAATAAGAACACCTGCCCTGGAGCTGCTGGGGGAATTCTATAAGACCACGGAAGCAGCAGATTCCATGCCTGATGCTAGTAAAAGTCAGCTTCCTGCCATCTACAGCTGGGCCTTGCTATTTATGCCTTGTCCTGTGCCCTGCTTAGAACCTCATTTTCTTAGCTGCAGCCTAATCTTTTTTTTACACATTGGGCTCAGCTCATTCATCCCCTGCTGAGTGATTTACTGTTGGGAAACTGGTGCCAGAGATAGAACAAAGGTTAAGAGGCTGTGGGCTGGCGCATATTTAGTTGGAGGGAACAGGATGTGTAGGAAAATGGGTCTTACAAGCTCCAAGGCATTGGGACCACCTCAGCCTGATGAACACATCGTGGTAACTGTGGCCGGAGTCCAGCCACAATCTGTCCTCAGGAGCCTTCCTGTTGGGAAATCACCACAGGGTGTGAAAAATGGGGAAGCCTCCTCTCTCTCCCTTTATTCAAAGCACCTAGGAGTCTGGTGGGCAATTAACATCCCCTAAAACAAGGGAAGAGGAGGCTAATCCACCCCACCCCAGCCTCACTCCCAGGCGACCCAGCAGGGGTGAAGACAAACTGGAGCTCAAAACACTGCAAAATATGTGACGTATAGCAGACTGTTGTCACACACACGCCTTCTGCCGTGCGTGAAAAGGCTGGGGCCGATGAGCAGAGCTTCCTCTCCTACGAGCGCCGTGCACAGCACCGCAGCTCACAAACCTCACCCACTCTCGGTCTCAGGCGCCCTGCATGCCTAGTAGGATGTGAAGATCCAGGCTCAGAGCAACAAAGTGGGCAGCCAGGCCTGAGCCTGGTCCCTGTGCAGGAAGCCCCCCGCTCTCTTCACAAGGCTAAAGTGTCCCCATCCTGCCCTTTCTTCCAGAGCAAGCCCAGGTGTGTGTGCAGCACTGGCAGAGACCTGGTTCCAAAAACACCACCCTAATGGAGCACGTGGCCCAGTCAGGGGCAGGCTGGGCTCCTGCCTCAGTCCTGGCACCTGGCAGAGGAAGGCAGTGCCAGAGGAGAGCGTAAGGAAACAGGATTCAGGAAAGCCGTGGGTGAGTCCGGAGCAGCCTGGTCAACGTGCTTTCCAGACCTGCTGTATGTTAAGGGGATGAAGGAGGCCCACCGACCTGCTCCTGGTAACCCCCCTGTCTGAGGAGGGTCTTTCAGTTAGCTGGGTGCTGCTGGGGCGAGACTGTCTGAGAAGGGTGTTCAGATAAGAGGCAGATAACAACTAGGAGCCCGGATTGAATCCAATAAAGGTCTCCTGAGCCAGCACAAACAATTAAGCTTCTTTGCTTTTTCTGTTTTTTTTGTTTTTGTTTTTTTTTGGTACCAGGGATCGAACTCGGGTCCTTGCGCTTGCACAGCAGGTGGCAAAACCACTGAGCAAAATCCTAGCCCTAAGCTTCTTTTCTTTCTTGATGCCCAGGATCACAGCACTGACTCTCCTTGCTGCTGACAGCCAGCTGAGCCAGGAAACTCAAGACGTTTCCAAGTGGTCTGCTTTCTCTGCCTCCCCTCTCCCCTCTTCTCTGCCCTCCCATTCACAGATGAAGCGCCCCTTCTCTACATGGGAACAGCATGAAAATAATGGACTCAGCATCTCTGTGATACTCTGACCCTAGGATCTATCACCTGCTCACTGGAAATAACTTGTGGGCCTCTTGGGCATCCTTTTCCTCCTCTGGAGTAATAGCTCCACCTCTGGGATTCTTGTAAGGATTAAATAAAATAATCTACGTAAAAAGTTACACACAGGCCTGATGTAGTAAGATAGCACTGATGTAATCACTGTCATTTGTACCAGTTTCCTCTTGGTGCTATAATAAGTTACAAAATAACAAAATAGGTCAGCATGGTGGTGGACACCTGCAATCCCAGCACTTGGGAGCCTGAGGCAGGAGGATTGCCATGAGTTTGAGGCCAGCTTGGACTATATACCATAGTGATTTCAAGTCCAATCTGCACTACATAGTGAGATCCTGTCTCAAACAAAAGAAAAAAATGTTTTTTAAAAATTTACCACAAATTTAATGGCTCAAAACAAAATTCATTCTCCTATAGGGAGCCAAAGGCTGAAAGGGACTGTACACAGCTGAACATCACCCGTGAGAAATGCTGAATTCCTCCTGGAGGCTCTGAAGGATGGTCCACATCTCTGTCTGCTCCACCTTCTAGAGGCCTCTGGCACCCCACAGCCCCAGTCCCACCCTCCCTCTTCAAAAGTGCTAAGGAGAGCCAAGGCCAGAGATTAGGGCATGGCAAAGTGGTTGAGGAAGTGGGTGTGGCCTGTCAATCATGGAGATCCAGGCTACAAGCCCAGAACCCAGTTCCCAAACTCTTCACCTGGGACCAATCAGAAAGCACTATCCTAAATTCTACTGGAACAAAATCAAGCAGGTTTTTGATAGAATGGCCTAGATATGACATCAGCCTGAAGAATAAAAGATACAAAAGACTTTTGCCATTACTTCATGGACACTGTGATCTCTCAGTAGCCTACTCTCTGCAGAGCATATTTCAAACCTTTGATAAATGTAAAACTGGCTACCTTTTTCTTGCATCTTGCCCAATTCTTTGTTCAGGACACCAAAGACCTGGAAAGAGTCTACAGAAACCCAGAACTCTGTAACGGCACCTTCTGATCTCTATGAAGACCTTGTGATGACACTGGACCATTTGAATAATGCAAATTAATATCCCCCAACTAAGTATCTTTAATACCTCTGCAAATTCTCTATTTCTACGGATTCTGGGAATTAGAAAGTAGACATTTGAGGGGTTATGTCCCATATCCATTAATATTTTTATAGACTAGTTAATTTAATTCTTATTAAGACCCTTTGAAGTAAACATGATTTTATTTCCATTTGGTAACTGAGGCAGAGAAAGGTTAAGAAATTTGTCCAAGCTTACACAGCCAGTAAGTAGGGAAGCACTAATTCCAACCCAGGAAGCTGGCTTCTTCAGTTCATGTTCCTAGGAGCCTAAATATGTGACATGGCCCAGAATAAGTATTATATATTAACTACTAAGGCTAACATAATTTTTACCCCACATGACTTTTTTGAGAATTTACTAACTGATGTGTAAAAAGCAACAGTGCCTGGCGTAGTAGGCCTTCAAGCAGTACTTCTATTTTTCCTGTTCTACTAATTCACTTTCGTCTTCACTGTAAAGACGCTGGAAGTACCTCACCCTCTCCAAGATGGCGCCACTTCCTCCGCCATCCATCCTTCACTGTACCCACTACATCCATCCACACCACTGCAGCCGGCGCCCATGGCAAGGAAAGCCACAGTGCGACCTTCTAAAGATGGCGCTCACGCTACTCTCTGCCCTGTTCAAAATGACCTCATCCTTTGGCGTCGCCCCAACCCCTGACCTTCTCAAGATGGCGGCAAATATGCGCGCGCACGACACTCCCAAGATGGCGCCAGCGTCGTAAACTCACGGAAGCTCAGCGTCGCAGTCAAAGGTACTTCCTGGTACCCCACATGGGGGTTTAGGAAGTCTGCGGGGGAGACAGGTGGCGGCGGGTCCTCCGTCGTGAGCATGGACCGGAGGAAAAAGCCTTTGGACGTTACGGCGTCCTCGGTGAGTGCTTGGGATTTCCGGGCCTCGGCCCCCGCGCCAACCCGCTGGGCTCTGTTGCCCCGCGGCCCCAGAGCGCGAATGTGGCCCCGTCCCGGCGTGGGCCTGCGGGTCGGGGGCGTCCCCAGGGATACTGCCGGGACAGGGCCGCGAGGGCCAGGATGGCGTCGGGTTGTCGGGGTCTCGGTCCACTCCTCATCCAGCGCAGACAGGGCCGGGAGCCGAGCAGACAGGCAGGGCCGTGATACTGACCTGTCCCGGCGGGGCGGCACAGTGAGGGCGGCAGGAACGCGGTCTGGGGTTGGACTGGTCCAAGCTCCCCTTGCAAAATTCAGGAGTAGCTTTAGGCTAGGCAGTGTGTGACCTGAGAGTTGATGCAGGCTTGGGAGAAAGGGTGGAAGTGTTTCAGAATGTATTATTGTTATTAGTTTTGAGCCATTATGTAGGTTCGGCAAGTCCTTGGACTCACTTGGAGCCTAGGCTGGCCTTAAACTCACAGCGATCCTCCTGCCTCAGCCTCCTGACTGCTGGAGCCACTTCGCCTGGTCATTTTGAAGAATTTAGAAATTAGGTCCTGGAATGAAATTGACCTTTAAAATCCATACCCGCGTTGCTTTTAAAAATTGATCTCTTCAAGAATAGAAGTCATCAAACTCATTTTTATTTTCCTTAGCTGTCTATTGGTGATAAATACCTGATTTACAGGTACCCGGCCAAGTAAACTGTTGTGCTGAGGGAGGAGGGGCGCATTCTTCCAGCTTCCAGTTCTCTGCCTGGTCCTCCCTTCCCATTCTAAACCCCGAGAGTCAGCTCAGATTAGAGTTTCTATGACAGAGTAGATCAAACTTAGAGATGTACTCAGCTTACTTCATTTCTAGCTGTTGAAATCTGCCATAGCTTTTGAGGCTCAGCCCAGAACTTTGATCACCTGGACAGAAGCAAGGGCTTTGCATCTGAACTTACCTCCTTTCTTCCACTCAGATGTCTTTTTTTTGGTATGTGTGTGGTACTGGGGATTGAACCCAAGACTTTTGTAATGAGCTACATCCTTAGCTGTTTGTTTTTCTTTCTTTTGCAACAGACTCTTGCTAAGTTGTTCAGTTACCTGACTGGGCTCAAACTTGAAGTCCTCCTGCCTCAGCCTCCCAAGAGAGCTGGGATGACAGGTGTGAGCCACCACACCTCGCTTGTAATGTCATTTTTTTACATTTCTTTACATCTTACTGGTATTATACATTACCTTTCTTACTCAGTTGAGGCTCTTGAGGCAGGTAAGTCTGCTTGGTGTTTGTCTCCTGCTCTTCACTCTCGTGCCAGGTACTTCAAACATGGGCTGAAGGAAACATTTCCTGACATTGTTGTGGTGATGAGAGAGCTGAGTTAGTGCCACTCAGAGAGAAGGCGCTGTGGGGTGTTGGGTCAACCTGGGTGGGAAAGATGCAGATGACATTTATTTCCTTCGCTTTATTGCCCGCCCCCCCAGCCTTGACTCTTGAGTAGAGATGCATGTGCCACAGAGTAGGGTGAAATGTTACTTAGTTTAATTTTTGTCTGAGTTTCTACAACTACACATTGACTTTTGTGTCCATTTAGAGCAAGTTGAAATCTTTGCTTTGAGAATTGTAATAATTTAGCAATCCGTCAACTGCTGGAACTGAATAAAATATTTGTTTTACTTTTCTGGTTTTATCCTAGTTAGTAGATCTTAAGGCCGAACTCTTCCGAAAACAAGAAGAATTCAAACAAGAAAAACTTCTAAAAGATTCTGGAGTTTTGGGAAAACCAAAGACAGCTAATAAGGTAAAATATGGTCTCATTGTCCTCATTGCCCCCACATGGGAGAAATCTGCCACACTTAGGCTTTGAACGTGTCAGTGGTGTCTGTATATGTGAGTGTTAGGGTAAAAAATCCCCGTCTAGTATTTGGGTGTCTGCATGAAATGTGTTAAATATTAAAGTAGGAATTAGTACAATTATTTAAAAGCTTACCATGAATCTCTTTTACACTCTTTTTGGAAAAAGACATTGGAAGATTACTTGTCACATAGATGCTCTGTGGTTTCCTAATTTTATAAGTAATGGTTTCTGGTATTTGTATTACTAATTCTTTGCAATTGTACATTTTCATTAGAGTCTTGAGTTAGGTTGTGATCCTTTAGGAGGTTCAGTAAGTCTGCGCAGTGGTCTAGAGAAGCTCATATACCACTGTTTACAGTTTAGGGCTTTTCCGCGCCAGCGACCCAGTGGGCGGTGAGTGTCTGCAGGACACAGTTAGCTGTTGGAAGAGGAAGTTGTCCCACTGGTCCAGAGATCTAATGATCTCCTCCTCCTCCTGATGTACAGTAAAGATTGTCTTGTAATCTTTCTCTCGTCCTTTTGAATTGTTCTCCAGAAACCAAGTATCTGGAGCAAGCAGAATGCAGGAGTTTCAAATCGAGCCGAGAAGGATGCAGAACAGAAGATTGAGGAGCAGAAGACTTTAGACAAAGCGAGGTATGCCTGAGCTCTGAAAAGTGTGGTTCTCTTTGAGGCCACACACACCAAGGAGTGAACATTCGGATTTTACTCGTTTTGATTTATAAATTTGATGTCCATCGCCTATCCAGCCAAGCGTTCTGTAAACATAAACACAGTTTCCCCAACGTCTGAGGGGCGCTGGTTCCGAGACCCCCTTCCTACAGATAATAAAACCAGGGGCCCTCACATTCCTCATGTAGCAGGGCATAGCATTTGCACATAACCCACATAGCCTTCTAGGAGCTTTAGGTTCTCTCTAGACACCTTGGTGTAAATATTGTGCAAGTGCTCCGTAAACAGGTGTGTGCTGTAGCATTAGGGAATAATGACAAGGAAAAGTATGTCTGTGCATTTTGCTACAGATACAACCATTGTAGGCCTAACTGAAGAGGACACACAGCAGCTGTGAGCATTCTTCCAGACGTGTTTGATTCCTAGTTAGGGACGTGGGAGGTGAACTCTGGCTATGGAGTTGAACTGTCCTCTACCACAGTATAATTCAACTGTCATCTCCTGAAGAGATAAAGCAGGCTTGATTTCAAATATGACACTGATTGGTCTCTAGTGCTATCGATGAGGTGTCTTTGTCTTTGTTTTTGGCAGTCATGGGGGTGGAAGCCGAGGCTCTGGCATGTGCTGTGCTCCCCTCTGAGCTCTACCCGCAACCCCAGTGACACGTCTTGGAGATGTGTCCCACAGTGTGCTTCTGGGCTGGGGTTAGGACTTTAGCACTTAGAGACCTAAACTTTTCCCCAAACCAACAGAATAAGTGAAAAAATGTGAAAGAAGAATACAATGAATGTTTCTATATTTTTCACTAAATTCATCAGTTAATATCTTTCACACTGACTTTCCATCCCTCCTTTCTCTTTTTCCTCCTCCTTTTCCCTTTCTCTCTTCTCTCTCTCTTTATCACCTTTTCTTCCTTCTTCCTTTCCTCCCTGCTTCCCTGTCTCTGTCTCTCTGGTTTTTTGCGGGGTTTTTTTTTTGGTATTAGGGATCAAACTTGGGACTTTGCGCTTGTGAGGCAGGCACTGGAACCACTGAGCTGAATCCCCAGCCCTCTCTGTTTTTTTAATAGCAAAACGTTTCTTTGTACATTTTAGGCATACGTAATGATAACACTCATCATAGGGAATATGTACCAGTACATGATAGATCCTGCCTCTTTTTTCCCATTCCCTCCCTCCTAGCAAGTCCCCTCCCCTCCCTATGTACAAAAGCTTTGGTTCCATTTATTCCTTCTATTTTTTTCTTGTCCTTTCTTTCCTTTCTCCTTCCTTCCTCCCTTGTTCCCCTTCCCATTTGAAAATTTTCTTCTCATTTACCAATATCTATTATACATTTTACTATTATACTATTTACTTCCACTTTCAATTTCTCACACCAGAGACACAGTGCAATATTTAAACATGTGTGTCCTATCTCTGTCCTGCACACACATATTTTTAAGTTCGGGATATTTTACTGCTGACCATTTCAGCATGTATCTTGTAACAACAAGGAAGTTGTCTTACATAATCACAGTACTGCTGTCATATCCAAGAAAGCTAACACTGATGAAATAGTATTATCTATTCTTTGGTCCGGAGTTTGGGTTTTGCCGGTTGACCCAGTACAGTTGTGTCCTATGTAGTGTTTTTCAATTCATGGTTCAGAGATTCCACACTGCATTTAGGTGTCCAAGCTCTCAGTCCCCTGTAGTGTAAACAGTTCTCACCTTCTTGTGATTTGTTCTTCTTTTGGCATTTTGAAGCCACCCAGGCCCATTGTTCTGTACAGAGCAGGGTCACAGGAAGTTTCTGGAGAGATACTCTGTGGTTGTGTTCTTCCCTTGGAGGTGGCCGGAGGGCCTAAGGTCAGTGCAAGTCGTGGTTGGGGGCTGTAGGGCTCACATGGTCAGGGGGCTTGCTGAGTGGGCCCGATGAAGGTCTCCACGCTGTGACTGGGGAGGTGTGAGGGTCCTAGCCTCACCTGAGTTGTGATGTTGGTGCTTCAGGGTGGTGATGTTTTGATTTTATCATCTGTCTGGGTTGTGGCTCACCTGTTGCTACTGACCTTCTTCTGTGAAGAAGAGGGAGTGTCCCCCTTGTCTGTTCCCATGGCTGTCGAGTTTTGGATACGCTACACAATAAAAGCTCCCCTTGCAGGGTGTGGTTGCTAAGGTTGCTCAATGCTTTTGGAGCGATGTAGGTGAGCTATGGCAGGGTCCTCATGAGGAGGAGAAGAGGAGGTGACAGGGCCACGTGTGTCTGACTGGTCTCACCACAGCTCTTATGGGCAGGACCATTCTGTTTCTCCTTCTGTCTGTGGGAACTGAGACACAGAAAGGTTAAGTAACTTGTCACAGCCAGGGGACCCACGGACTTGTCAGCCTCGGGATGCCATTAGAATTGAAATTGCCTAGCTAGGTGTAGTAGCACTGGCCTGTAATCCAAGCACCTGGGAGGCTAAGGCAAGAGGATTACATGTCTGAGCCCAACCTGGGCAAGCTAGAAACTTAGCGAGACCTTGTCTCAAAATTAAAAAATAAAGAAGGGCCGGGATGCAGCTCAGTGTGAAGGCTCTGGATTTAATCCCCAGTACTCCAAAAAAGAACGGAAGGAAGAAAGGAAGGGAACAGAAAGGAAAAAAAGAAGAAAGGCAGGCAGGAACTGGCCCTCTGAGTCTGTGTGTGACATTCCTGAGAGAGCCTGGGTGAGCTATTTGGTGGTATCTCTCCTGTCGTGGGGTGTTTCTGCGTGAAGCATCACAGGGCCTCTAACCCAGCCTGTGCCTACTGAAAAAAAAAGTTATCAGAGTTAATAACAGAGGCCACTTTGTTGAAATGCCAGAGTCAGTTTTTGTTTTCTTAGCATGTGATGAACAAATAATCCCTGTTTTCGTTAAAATAGACATCATCATATTTGTAAAACGAAGGTAAGAAGTTGATCTCTAAGTCCCTGAGCGAAGCCTAGTAAGCCACAGGTGACTGGTGTCTGAAAACAGTGATCCCAAGGTTTGCCTGGAATTTGGTGACCCTTGTCAGAGGTTGCCGTGGCAGTGTTTGTGTTTACAGACATGTCTTGAGTGGGTAACTTCAGATGCATTTAGCCATTAGAGTGAGCGGCTGGAATCGTAACTTGGTCAGATACTCACCTAACTGCTGCTACGTCCCAGGAGTGGCTTCCAACCAGGACCCAGTGACCAGTGATGCGCCAGAGAATGCAGCACCCCCCTTACCTACCTCCTCAGTTCCTTAGCAGAGCTGTTTATGCCCTCTCTTCAGGCTGGGCAGCATCTGGTGGCCTCCTCGCCAGGAGGGACAGCTGTAAGACCACTTTTTTCTGATACTTGTCTCTTTCTCTCTTAGGGAAAAGTTGGAAGAAAAGGCCAAATTATATGAAAAAATGACTAAAGGCGACTTTTTAGGTAAATACAACAATGTATTTATACTTCTTTACCTTCTGTCATTCAAATGGATCTTTGACATCATATCATGAAGATAACTAAGAAATTTAAAAGATCAGACCAAAATCTTCCCTCCTGTGGCTGCATGGACAGAGGAAACCTCAGTCACTGACCAATCACGCCGGGATCTGAGCAGGGGCATTGTGGAGGGAGGGGACAGACACTGGGCAATCGAATCTGTGCCCCTGCCCCTGGCACGGTGGCAGGGGAGAAGGAGGAGGACTGGGCCACAGTCACCGTTGCATTCTTCTCTTCTGTGCTGTGAGACAACACAGCCATTCGCTGGGAGGCAGCTCAGGGCTGATTTCACACTGCGGAAGCAGAACAGGACGGCGTCTCTTCTGTCACCTGAGTAGGACCACAGACTTTCCTGTGTGCACGTGACGCTCTTGTCTACACAGGGCCTGCGTCACAGCTGTGTGTAAGGGGAATTGGGGTTGAGCAGGATGCCGGCTTTCCTTTTCCTGTTTTTTCTGTTTCCAGTTCTGTTTCTGTGATGGGCTTGTAATTGCTTTACAGTTGTGCTACTGATCCTCCCTTTCCTCAGATGCCCCAGAAAAAGAAACCCTGCTCATAGTGAGATAATGAGAGGCGGAGGCAGTGTGCATTCCGCTGCCAGAGAGAGGAGGGCTGTGATCAGGAAATCTTCTGGGGACCCCAGGGGGCTCTGCCAAGGGTCCTGAAGCTGTGGGAACTGAAGGAGAGACCCTGCCAGGAGAGTGGGGAGCCACACGGGGCTACCAAGCTTCTAGGCTGGGGACTGGTGGATGGAAGGCAGACCTCAGCCAGGAGTCAGAGCCCAAAGAGGCTTCCTGCACCTGGGTGCCTGTTGCTCCTGTCCTGTCTCTTCCCCCGGAGGACTTTTGTGGCCGAGTTCCCCCTCTGATTCAGAATCTACTTGCACTGTTGACACAGAAGCCAGGTACAGAGGAGTGTGGGCCCCACTGAGGGGTACGGGGACCTGTGTGTTGTGCAGGTCAGGTCTTGGAGCCTCTGGTGTCACCTCTGTAAGTGAGTGACACTGCCACCTGGTCGTGGGAGCCTCATAGCTGTTCCTGATCGCTTAGTCGCTGTCCTCAGAGAGGAACCCAGCATGAATCCAGCTCAGAACCTCACCCACATTGCCTTGCTCGGGTGACTGTCCTGGGCTGCTATGTCATGCTCCTGTGGGTTTCAGCTCCTGGGGGATCAGCGCCCTGGGCAGGCGGTGGCTCACACAGCCCTGTGCTCTGTGGCACTGGCTCTGGGCCATGTTGGGAGGTGAGAGCCCTTGGATTGAAAAGAACTTGGGCAACTTCTCCTTGTGCTGCAGCAACACAAGCCTCTCTGTAGAAAGGCAAGTCACACTGTAGGAGGGAATGGCCACTGTCCTCCTCTGATGACAGGAGAGCCGCTGTCCTGTCTACTGCAGCATGACATTAGCTGTGTGCGGCAGTGCTGAGGTGGCCCTGCTCATGCAGACCCTGGCTCAGTGAGGCATGAGGAGGTTTTCTCGGTGGTCTGTGTTTCCTGTGTCCCTAGCTTCCCTTCAAGCTGCTCCACTCTGTCCACTGAGGTTTCCTGCTGTGCACTGAGGTCGAGTTTTGTGTCCTAGATGAAGAAGTGGAGGATATGTACCTCGTAGACTTCACCCAGAAGATCATAGACCAGCGTAGAGAAATGGAGGTGCTTGGTGCCAGTAGAGAGCCCCAAAAGGTGGACGACAGGGACGAGGACGACGATGTTCCTGATGGAGATGTGCCCCCTCCCCAAAACCCCGGCGAAGAGTGGTGGGTACACTTGGGTGGCCCAGTCAGTGATCCTGTTTGGCTGTCACCATTCCATTTCTCCTTGTTCCCCTATACTTCCAGTCTGCTGAGAGCCCTCAAGGTTGGGTTGGGCTGGTCACTGCAGGTATAGAATAGTAGGCACAATGAAGAGATAGCCACACTAGTGACAAATGCCTGAGCCTCTGTGTCCAGCACAGTGCCAGGCCCGGGCACTGGGTGATAATGTCCTGCCCATTGAGGCAGAAGCCTGGTGCTCTGTGGCCCATGCTTTGGCCTTGCCTGTGGCCTGGCACAGACCTCGTGGAGGGTCTCCCTGATTCCAGTAGAAGGAGTGCAGGGTGGTCATGAAGCCCTCCTGTGGCAGAACCTCTTTCCAACAGTGATACACAGAGTTGTGGGCCTTGGGTAGTCCCAGTGCAACCTTCTGCTGCCTGTGTGATCTTGGGCAAGCTTCTGACCTCTCTGAGGCTGGTTTCCTCCCCTGTAGAGCTGACGATGCCCAGGTCCCTGGGTTCTTTGCCTCAGTCTCCCCCAGGACATAAAGTGGCCTGGGCTTTGGTTAGCTTTGTCCCTGAAGTCTGGCTGCATTCTGCCCTTGTGAGTGAAGGGTGAGGAACCACACCAGCCTTTCTGTGCAGACATGAGACCCCATAACCATGTGCTGACATCTCTGCTGGTGACGGTATCACTCTGACTTGTGCAGTGGAGCTTGAGACCCTGAGAGAGGCACTCCTGGGCCTCACCTTGCCCACCGGCCTGTAGGGTTCTGGTGTCCTCACGGGGGCCAGTGCTGCAGCTCTTGGTGCTCCTGAGGGTATCCTCATCAGTCCAGCAGTGCCTTGTCCTCAGGATGAGATAGGCATCTTCTTCTTGCTTCTAGAAGCTTCTAAGGGATCAAGGTCTATTTAGGTGGGTGTCTGGCTGTACGCTGTAAAGACCAAAGGCAAGAGGGCCGGGGATTTAGCTCAGTGGTTTTGCAGCCTGCTGTGCAAGCACAAGGACCCTAGTTCGATCTCCTGTACCAAAAAGAAAAAAAGGGCTGGGGATTTAGCTCAGTGGTTCCAGCGCCTGCCTCACAAGCGCAAGGTCCTGAGTTCGATCCCCAGTACCAAAAAAAATAAAAAAGACCAAAGGCAAGAGCACCAAAGGCCTGCACCTTTTCTCACCTTCGCTCATCATTGAACTTGGGACCACTCAACATGCTTCCTGCTTCCTGGTCCTACCTCGTACTTTTCACTGGGACAGGTTAGGCCCCATGGCCAGGAAAAGACCCGAGCCAGGCTTTGGCAGCCTGCCCCGCGTTCGTATCCCTGGAAGCACCTTGGCTTCCTGAGTGGTGGAGGTGGCAGGACTCTGGCCATCCCAGGCTTGTCCCTGCAGGGTGGGGCGGGGTAGGGCCAGCTCGGTGAATGGTGGCTCCGCTGTCTCCTCCGTTTGTTTAGCTGGGATCTGTGTGTTTGGGAGGCCAACTCCAGAAGCAGAGGGCCCTGTGATTGCTTTTCACAGCAGAACTCTTAATCCCTTTTCAGAGGCTCTGCATCTCTTCCTAAATTGTTGCTCATTAGTGTCTGTATGATTACAAGCAGTGTGCCAGCGATGTGAGGAGTTTGGGGGCAGCTGAAGGTGTCACTACCGCCATATGGTGAAGGAAGACAGATTACAAGCAGTTTTGACACTTTCTTCTTTTTAAATTAAGCTCCAAAATTGTCACTGCTTGTAAAATTCTTTCAGTATTTCAGTCCCAGGTGGTGGAAAATCTTCCAACAAAAATACTATAAATAATTATGCAGACCATCTGGCTTGATGGTTTTGTCCCCATTCATTAAAAAAAAAAAAAGGAAGAAACTGTTTTCTGCAGTTAGAGGTTTTATTTCTTGTGATAATCAGCCATAGGACTACAGTAGTGGATTCCCAGATGTTCAGTGTTTAAATCATGGGCCAACAGTTGGAATCAGCATTTCTTGGAAGGAAAAGAATTGGCAAGCAAAACGAAGCCCTCGGTTGTGAAGTGTCTGACCCTGAATCAGTCCCCAGTTCGTACTCATTGGTCCCTTCCGTGTGCTGAGCACCTGCTGAAGGCTGTAGGAGTTTCCCTGCCCACAATTTCAAAAGTAAAACCTCGTTGCATCACAGTACACGTGGAAGGTTCTCCTGCAAGGCTGCCCGTCCATCCTGCCTGGGAAGTAGTCACGGTTTTCATTTTGCCCTGCCATCTGCCCTGCCTGTCTCCATGTAGGGTTTGGGCAGAGATGAGGAGAGCACCATGTTCCTTTACTTCCTTCAGGAGTCCAGTAATGCCATGACTTACATTAGGGCATTTTTAACTCCTTGGGAGTTGTATGAATTAGAAGAAATAAGGGAAAGAATAAAAATTCAGACTTGAGAGGGCAGGGCAGTGAGCAGTAAGAATCTGGGTTGCAGAACGAAGTTGTTCAGTAATCTAAGCTGGATTAAAGGACATTCTAAGAAATAGTGACAGATTTCTGTCTTTGAAGTTAGAGATGGAAATGATGAGTTGCTTTTAGTTTCAAAGCTAAGGTTTGCGGAGCGCGTGCTGAGCCTCGGTGTACGACTCTGACCTGTGAGCAGCCCATGCAGGGCAGCATCTTGGGCTGAGGGTGCTTCTGCCAGTGAGTCCTCATCCCTCAGTGTGCGCAGCTCTCTGGCCCAGGGACCCCCTGTGTGTATGCACAGCATTTTCACACTTTCCCACTTTCACTTCAGGGTAGATTACGTGGACTCTTTGGGGCGATCCCGGCGCTGCATGAAGAAGGATTTGCCACACCTGCTGGAGATGGACAAGAACCTTCAGGGGAGACTGTAAGTGCTGGATGTGCAGACCTTGCCTGGTCTGAATTGCGGCCAGTGGGTGGTTTTGTGCAACAAGCTGCTTTAAGATGAGTTATCCTGGTTGCTCCTGTAAGTTTTTTTTTAGTGGATAAGAATGTTTGTTGGAGCAGTTTTAGTGGTTAGCATACCCATACACATGTAATCCACACTCGGAATGGTCCGAGTGGCTGACTATCCTTTTCTTGGTTTTGATTATTCTTTTTTGAGAAGGAGTCTTACTGTGTTGCCCAAGTGGCCTTGAACTCATGGGCTTGAGCAGTCCTCCTGCCTCAGCCTTGCAGGTGGTGGGAACCACAGGCAGGACTGGCTCTGATGGCCCATGTTGCACAGCTGCTTGGACCAATGTCTCATTATAGTCATGAGTGGAGACAGAGCCTAGTTGAGCCCAGAAAGCGACCCTTTGTGGACAGACACACCTTGAGAAGAGACGCTGGCTCATTTTATCCCTGAGCTGAGCTGGGGGACCAGGGCAATAGCTAGTGTCTCACTTTTTCTTTACACATCTTGGAAGTCAGGGCCTGCATTAAAAACTAATTTTTTGTGGAGCCTACAGCAGACCCACAGGATAACTTGCTAAAACATCCCAGGAGGGAGAAGCCGTTTTACACAGGGGCAGCTTGTGCACCTCTGTACATCCTGCCGACACAAAAACCTTGGCCATCAGCAGGACAAGGGTCCGCCTGCGAGAGCTGGACTCTTCTCCCACCTGGGCACCTCAGCCCAGGACTGGGTACTGATTTCCAAGGTGGGGTCCCATCGTGTCAGCAGGAGTCCCGGCTGGGTTTAAGGAGGGGGAGTGGTTTAGTGGTTTTTTCCTCTGGTGATGGTGGTCAGAGGCCCCTGCAGGGACCGTGTTCCTTACCACCACAATCACCTGGCAGTGTGTGTGTCCTTCTCCTCTCTGGCTAGTTTCGTGAGTCCTGCTAACGAGAAGACGCTGCTGTCGGAGGACATGAGGAAGGAGCTTCAGCGCCAGCAGTGGGAGGAGGAGGAGCAGGAGGCCCTGCGGAGGCCCGTGGGGCCCGTGCACTATGAGGACATCCGGGAGAACGGTATCTTTTCTCACAGTGCTGACTGTGAGGCTGGTGTAGTTGTATAGCACAGCCTGGACAGACACAGAAGGTTCTGCTCTGCTCACTTCTGGGCCTAACAGTCTGCACGTTAAGATGATTTTCTAGCAGAGGGCTATGAATCTTCGAGCTCCTTCCCCAAGCAAAGCGAAGGTGGCCAGGGTAGAAACTCATGGCCTTTATGTCATCGGTAGCTGCTGCTGCTGCTACTACTTATTCTCTGCCTTTTTTCCTTAAACTTGTGCATGCATGGAGCTTCTTGCTTTGGTAGGAAGTTTGCCCTGAATGTCATAACTGATGAAGAAAATCTAATATTTTGTACAATTTGACTCATTCCAGAGGCCCGGCAACTTGGTGTTGGATATTTCGCCTTTGCCCAAGACAAAGAGCTGAGAAACAAGCAAATGAAAACTCTGGAGATGCTACGGGAGCAGGTACACGTGTGCTCTGGTCAGAGGTGGTGGGAAGGAGGGGCTAAATAGGGCTGAGCAATTCTATGAGTTAAATTAGGAATTTAATTTTAGTATATGTGCTGCCGAAGTGAGCACTAAATTAGGAATTTAAATTGATTGTCAAAATGCCATTGTATAGCTGGGTGTTGTGGTGCACATCTGTGATCTCTTTGGTGGCTGAGGCAGGAGAATCGCCATGAGTTGGAGGACAGCCCGGGCTACACCGCAAGACCCTGGCTCAAAAAAATTAAAAAACAAAACAAAATGACATTGAATAAAGGTGATTGCCATACTGTTTTGGTATTTCAAACTGTAAAATTAGAACTGTTTCAAAAGTAACCCATGTGTAACATTTGGTTTCCACTTTTAGGGTAGCTGGGTGAAAATACAGGAAGTTATTTAAAGGATTAATGAAGAAAATTGGATGGCTTTCTTTTCTTTCTTCCTTCCTTCCCTTCCTTCTTTTCTTTCTTTCATTTTTGGTGGTCCTAGGAGTAGAACACAGAAACTTCACACTGAACTACAACTCAGCTTCTTTTTTATTTTTCATTTTGAGACAGAGTCTTGGTAAGTTGCTAAGTTTCCTAAGTTCGGCTCAAACTTGTGTTCCTCCTACCTCAGCCTCCATAGCGCAAGGATTACAGGCTTCTGTCACCATGCCCAGAATGAATGGTTTTCTTGAATCTAAAGTGTTCCAGAGTGCTCTGTGATCTCTCACTAAACTTCGTAAGACACCAGAGGCCATGTAAGAGTGCCTCTTAGCTCTTGATTTTCAGGGTCTCAAGGATAGCCTCTTACTGGTGCCATGAAAATTAACTAGTCTGTTTTCAAAAGAAAATCATTTCAACCTTTTGAACAAACATACTGTGAATTTGGCTTCAAGCAAATAATTTTTAACTTTGTGTTCAGACAACAGATCAAAGAACAAAACGTGAAAACATAAAGGAGAAACGAAAGGCTATATTAGAAGCAAGGCTTGCCAAACTTCGACAAAAAAAGATGAAAAAGTCAAAAGAAGATGGGACAGAAAAAGAAAGCAGAGGTACATCACAGTTTAGATTTCTGCACTTGAAAGTCATGGAAGGCTCTGAGACCCCTGCTCTCAGGCTGACATGCTTGGCAGTGTGGGCAGCAGTGCCTGGCTTTATCTTGGAGCAGGCAGCATGCAGCCAGGTGTTGCCAGGCGCAGTTTGTAAGCAGAGTGAGGCAGACAGCTCTGCAGCATCGTAGACAGTGGACGGGACCTTAACAGCTTTCATTTGCTTCTTAGAGGGACACAGTTTAGTAATGGAAACTTAGAGCAAAGGTGTCTTAAGATAAAATTTAAGTGCACATATATATGATTTTACACTTAATTTTTAGAATTTACTTTGTAAGCATATGGAAATGTAAGCATTGTATGTATGCATATATGCGAACCACTGTGATGTTTCAGTGCATGCATACATTGTGGAGTGTTTAACAGGGCAAGCATGTGCAGGTCGTCAGACTCTTACTGAGTCTTCCTGGCAAAAACACTCAGAACCCTTTCTTGATCTCTGTAGATGTCGGAGTTTTTGCCCATAGCTGTAGTTTTTCTTGGCTGTGATATACTCATTGTTTCGTCGTAGACCGCTGAGGCAGGAGCAATACAAGTAGACGAGTCAGAGCTTGGGGCCAAGTCCCCTTGGAAACCCTGTGGGCGCTGTGGTCCCAGAGCTCCTGTGAAGTGGCTTGGGTCAGAGCTGAGCTGCCCTGACAAAGGGACCACCAAGGAGATGAGTGTCTGCTTCTCTGTCACATGTCAGAGCAGGTGGCAGGTGTGCATCCAGGACATTGTGGCCCTGCCTGAGGCCACGCAGTTCCCAGCCTCCTCTGAGCGTTGCTGTCATCTCATGACTTATGTCTGCCCATGGCACCTGCTGCTGACCCTACCCAGGGGAAGGGGCAGAGCCCATGTCCTTGTGGGAATGTGAGTCTGAGGTTACCACAGGCCCCGTTCCCCCATTGGCTGAGCCCAGGCCCATGGTTGTACCCAGCTGCTGGGGAAGCTGGGAAATGACCTCTCCAGTGAGGTGGCTCTGCACCCCCCTGACCCTGGGAGTGGCATTCTGTTCCCAAGGACGAGCAGGGACTGAGACTCATGGCCTCACTGTAACCTATACTGAGGGTGGCACCTCCTCACCTCTGGGCTAAGCCAGCTATAGCCTTGAAAAGCCCTAGGAGATATGAGGAAGGGAAGAGTCATCCCTGGTGTTGCATAAATGCCACCTCTGGGATGTGGAAGCCTTTCCTGGTATCTGTTTTCACTGTCTCCTGCACATCTCATTCTCAGAAGATGGGAGCTGCCACTATGGTGTTTTCCAGAAAATCCATTTTCTTTAAAAATTATGAAATGCAGCCCAAATAGAATACTCCACAGCAGGCTACCGCCTGAGTCACCTGGCTCCCTCCTGCTTTGTCTGTGATTGTCACTCACTGAATGATTTGGCCCTGGGGTTCTGGTGTTGGAGATGCAGAGGGGGTGTGGGCGGCGTGGGCACCTGGTCCCTGCCCCCAGCACCTGCTGCTTGTGTCGCTGGGATGAATTTTCTCATCAGTGAAGTGGGAACACGGAATCCCTTCAACTTCACAAGTCTCTGATGAGCTGCTGTATACACGATGCTGAGAGGACCCAGGACTGGGCTGTGGTGGCCACCAGCAATGCTGGTCATTATTACCTTTACTTTCAGGATTAGCACATTCAGCATTTTTATTCTAACAAGGTCTTCTTTTCTACAAATGTAGATGAAGATGCTATTGGACCTTTGCCATCAGAACCAGAACCTGTGCCGACCCCACCTCCCACCCAGAGCAGCAGAGTAGAGGTCATCACCCAGGAGAGGAGGGACACCCGGCCCGGGGTGCCGTACATCCGGGAGTGGGACCGCGGGAAAGGTGAGGGCTGCAGCGGGGTCTTCCACCCAGTGCCATCTGTGTGCTCGCTTCGTGTGCTGCTGGGACCCCAGGGCCTCATGCGTGCTAGCCTGCCGCCAGCACTGAGCCTCCCTAGCCCACCAGGAGCGCTCTATGGGGACTGTTAACATCAGCAGCTTCCCGACAGGTGTAAAACATCAATTGTGGGGTGGAGGGTGCAATGAGTAGTCCTTGGAGGCCTCAGGAAACCTCAGATTGCTGACCCACATCCCAGACCCTGTGTGTAAATAGGAGGATTGGCAGTGTGACTGCAGGGACCCCTGGGGACAAGTCCTGCCCCAGAGTGAGGGTTCTGGGTACTCTTGAGGAAGATTTTGGACTCTGCTCCTCCCATATGGCATCACAGGTTGGGGGCCACTTGTTGGGAGCGTTACAGCCTCATGGCTGGGGTGCTGAGGGCTGTGTGGAGCCGTTTCTGTAGCTGAGAGAGAATGGTTCCCCACCAGTCACCAGCTTGGCTTCACCTGTGTTCATACATACATGCACACACACCCCGCGGGATGCTCAGCTTTTCTCTGAGTTCACCACGGTGCCCACAGCGGCTTCTCTGGAAGATTGCTCCATGCTCTTTCAGTGATCATTTCAGTGGGACATGAACTTGTGCTGCTCAGGCTGGTAAGACCCAAAGCCAAAAGAGGAGAAATGCCAGGCCACTGTGACAGGCGGAGATGAGTAAACACCCCTCAGATTTGGACAAGTCCTTCTGACATCTTGCAACACTCCACCAAGGACACGGCCTACTGCGCCATGTCAAGCATGTGATCTGACTGCCTCACTTTTCATGCTCCCTCAAGTTCATTTTAGTGCTTTTTTGGCCCTGCCCCTGAGCCTGTCAGCTTTCTCAAAGCCCTGCTCTGATCTCTCCCTGCTGGGAAATTGTCACTGCCTTTTCTTAGCTTGGTCTCATGCTATTTGCAGGTATTGCTTATACAGCTTTGAATAGGATTTCTTTGGTGCTGTCCTTATTCTCCAGAGAACTCTGGTGGCTTTTAAGAAATTGTAAGTTTGGCCAGGCAAGATAGGATGGGCTTGTAATCCCAGCACTCAAAAGGCTGAGACAGGAGGATCACTGAGTTCAAGGCCAGCCTGGACTACATATTGAGACCCTGTCTCAAAAAACCAAAACCAAAAAGAAAAAAGAAATCTATAAGTTGAACTGATTCACGAATGGGTTCTAACACTACTTTTTCTCATTTCCACTAGAATTTTCCTTTGGACACTGGTCCAAGAGGCAGTCAGCTCTCCGGGCCGAGCGAGACCCCGAGTTTGCCCCACCATCAGATTACTTGGTGGGTCAGAAAAGAGTGGGGCCTTCGAGCAGCCAGCCGTGGAGCAGACCTGGAGCAGCCCCGAGCAGACCTGGAGTGGCCCAGAGCAGCCCTGGGCAGCAGGCGGGCCAGGGCCAGGAGCCCCCCTCTACATACATGCCACCCGCTCCTGGGCCCGGGGGCCCCCCACAGGCCCCCACACTCACTTTCGCGACTCTGGATGACATGATCTCATATTACAAACAAGTGACATGACCCTGGCGGTGCTGTGACTCGGGCTGTGCCTCGGGAACAGCAGGGGACAGTGGGTCTCAGGCCGAGCCGGGCCTTCATCCTCCTGTCCCCGCTCAGAGTCACAGTGGGTCCTTGGCCCCTTACCGCCATCTCCTTGCTGGTCCAGAGCAGCCTCCCTGCTCCCCTCCACACCCCACTTCCCTCGAGTGAACTTGACCATGAGTGTTTGGGGGCAGGCACGTCTGCTATAAAACTGGATGCTGCAGCACCTATGGACCTGTCTGTCACCCTATGCCCCAGCTTGGGGCCAAGGGTTTCATTCCCCTCCTTTGTCCACATGGGTGGGTTGGAGGCTTCACTCCCAAGGCTCAGATCTTGGCCAGGTGGAGGAGCACAGGCCAGGAAGGCCCAGCAGGAGCAGGGAGGCAGAAGGAGCCTGGGGCTCGGTCCCTGGGGCTGGAGGCATGGAACACAGTGCCATTGGGCACTGAGAGGCCAGGTAGAGCAACACCTCGTAACCCAGGAAGGTGGCTTCCGTTGTCACACTCTCCTGTCCTCCACGCCCTTGTGCACTGTGGCCATCTGATACATGCGTGTCGGTGACTTCGGTGTCCTGTGGCTGCTGGGCCTGTCAGAGACAGTGTCCCTAGTTGTCACAGTCAGAGCTTTTAGCTCCTGCACTGCCACCCAATGCCCCTCCCCGCCAGGTGTGCCTTCCAGGTCAGACTTGGGCCTGTGTGGAGGGCCAGGCTGGCCCTTGGCCACACTGATGGGGTGTCATGTGGGCAGGGCTCCAGGAGCATGGCTCTGGACCAGGGTCCCATCGCAGCTGTAGACAAGTAGCTGGCAGTTGGTCACTAGACCTTTGGGCTCCCCCAGCCAGCTGCAGGCTGGTGGCTCCAGAAGAACTCAGCACAAGTTTTTTGTATTATTAGAGGTTGAACTCTGCACCTTCACACTGCATCCCTAACCTTTTTAAAATTTTTGATACCAGGGTGTCTCTAAGTCACTTAAGTTTGTCCAGGCCGGCCTGGAACTTGAATCCTCCTGCATCAGTCACCCAGTGTGCTGGGAGTACAGGTGTGTGCCACTGTGCCCATTCAGCACAGGTTTCCGAAGTGCCCTGAGGCGTGGAAGGGAGAGGAGTGAGGAAAGAGCACTCCCTCAGTGGCCTTGTCCCCAGCCCTGGGTAAGGATGGCCATCCTGGTGTGGCAGGGTCTGGACTTGTGCTTTCTCCAGTGCTCACGGCTCTAGTCTTCCCAGCATCCAGTAGGTTTAGTTAAAGATCCAAATTCCTAGAAACTTGTCTCTGAGCCCCAGAGCAAGGGCTATGTGCCGGGCCTGTTTATCGTTCTGTTACAGGCCTCATCAGGCTAATAACTAAATACACACTAAAACCCGTCAACGTAGCTTCCTTGTTTGTACAAATTGAGCTGATCCTGAAACTCACCTGGGTGCGCAAGGGACCCAGAGTGGCTACATGAGCGGTATTAGAAACAAAGCTGGGACTTGCTTCATGGTTTTAGTATGTCCTGCAAGGCTACTGTGGTCCAAGGCGCATGGAGCTGGCGCAGGGGGAAGGAATAGAGAAACCCATGCACCTGGCCGGGCAGCTGTCGGTAAGGGCGCTGGCCCCAGGTGGGGAGAGCAGTGTTTCCTGGGCAGGAGAGGGCATTCCAGGCTTTGCTTCAGACCCTGTACAGAATCTACACCCAGTGCACCAAGAGCTCAAAATAAGGGTACAGGCAACAAAACCAACTGAAACAGTTCATAGGATAAGGAAGGGAGAGACGCAAAAGTTGAATACTAAAAAGACAAAATCACTAGACTTTTAGAATCCTAAGAAAACATAGGAAAAAGAAAGAGGAGGCAAATACTGAATAGATGATATGGGAAGGATGGGAAGAGGGTGTATTTGTAAGGGAAGCGCCCAGGGTACAGGTGGATAGAGTAAGAAGAGGTGGAGGAGGCAGGCAGCCCTGCCCTGGGAGCAGTGAGGTTGGCCACAGTGGTCTCTTCCCTGCTGAGCTCCTAGGCAGCGGGGCGGCCTTGCACAGATTGAGTAGAGTGTTCTCTGGCAGTTGGGAGATGTTTCTAGATCCATCTCCCCTTACAGTGTAAATTTAGTTCTGTGCTTTGTGAGCCGGGAGGTCAAGGGTTCACACCTTCAGGCTCACTCACTTCCTGTGCCTCCTGGCCTGTTTTGTGTCGAAGTGCATCCAGCAGGTGGCACTAGGGTTCACAGAAAACTCATTTTGTTTAAAATTGGGCAATGAACTCTTTGTGTGAACAGAGCATTAGAAATATTCACAAAGAGCATTAGAAATGTCCACCTGCAGAGCAGCAGCATTTTGAAGATCTATTATTTATTGCTTTAAGTCCATGGTCTTCTGAGAACACCAAGTTTCCTTTTGCTTTTTTTGGTTTTTTTGAGAAGACTTTTACTCTAGTCCAGGCTGGCCTTGAACTCACTATGTAGCACAGGCTGGCCTCAAACTCATGGCGATCCTCCTGCTTCAGCCTCCCAAGTGCTGGGATTACAGGCTTGTGCCGTCACCCCCGCTTATTATAAACCTTATAAAGATGTGAAACGGTATCTTCTTGTGACTTCAACTTCCGTTTCTCTAACACACAAAGGGTATTGAACATTCAGATCCCGGCTCCGCAACATGTCGACAGAAACCGCTAGGAGGCCTCTAGGGTCATTTTCTGTTTTCTAGGAATCCTATTAAAAAGGTGAAATTAATTTTATGATACATTGTGTTCAACCCAATATATCCAAACTAGCATTTCAACATGCAGTGTAACTTATTATTGAGTTAGTTTACATTTCTTTGAAGCACTCCACCCCAACCTAGCTCACTGTGGGGGCTAACTGTTCCCTAGGAATATTTGATCTGTATTTAGGTGTCATAAGATACACAGTTAAAATAAGTAGATCTTCGGTATATCCAGTTGTTCTAGTCCTACCTAAACATACTTAAAAGATTTCCAATAACTGAATCCCGTATCAAGTGTTACTTCTGTTGTTTCACTTGGCCACAATTCCTTCCTAGTTGAGCATTTTAACCTTGTAATTGTAGTTTAAGAATTTACAGTCCATATGAAATGTTTTAAATATGTTAAACAAAAATACCAACTTAAACTGGAAGCCAAAAGTAAATTTATCAGTTATCTAAGATTTATAACCCGATTTCTCCCTCTCCCAGGGGAGCTTCCCTCAAGGGAAAGAGGGATTGAGCCCTCTCTTTAGTCTTTGGGAAAATGGATGATTCTGAACATCTTGGCACTTTTTAAATTTTTTTTTTTTCAGCAAGTATAAAGTTGGTCTCTTCTTGTGCGGTTGCAGCCTCCGCACTGGGGACTGGTCCTCCCTGGTTGGCATGAGCTCCTGTTGAGCCAGAGCTGCTGGTTGGGGTGCTGGGGATTATAGGCTGGGGTAGGGACTCCAGAGGGTCCCATGTGGAAGAGGGGACCAGAGATGAGTCCTTTTGTTTCTTATTAAGTCTCCTGGGCTTTTAGGGAGAAGAGAACCATTGATCCTTGTTGCCAGCACAGGAAGTAACCTATCTCCCCTTGAGTCCCCAGTCTTTATCATTAATCAACAATTGATATACCCAGTCCTCCTCTGACCCAAACTTTGGTGAGAAGGTGGATAAGGGGGGGGGGGGGGTCGTGGCCAAATGAAACAACAATATTTTATCATCTGAGCTTTCTTTTTGTTTTTTGTCTGTGAGTTGTCCTTGGTCCTTAACATCAGTCTGAGGGGACTATGGAGTATTTTGTTCCCTGAGCCCCTTGATTTTCTAAACTGTCCTGACTGGGGGGCACATTTATTTTTCATTGTGTTTGTCCCAAAGCCTGAGGCTCAATCTCCAATGTATGCAGAGGTATCTTGCTGTAGGTTATTTTTGATTTCACTCAAAATCATCTTGCCCTCACCCAAAGTTGCTGATCTCGCCTGAGGCCATCCTGATCTCCCCACAAGGTTTTCCTGGGACAGGAATAGAATAACCCGACCACCAAAGCAATACTCAGTCGTCCCTGTGACTTTTCTTAACTTGGTTCATGCACAAAGTTGCCTGGTCATTGTTCCCTCCCTTTGGTCCCTTTTTTCATTGTCAAGAAATCTTTATTGGGTCCTCAGTCCATGGACATAGGTTCTCATCCCAGAGGCCACTGCAACTAGGCTGTGGGATGCATCTCTCCTTGATGGCACCAATAGGCCGGGGCCCCAGGTTGGGCATCAAAAATTGTTGGAAATGAGCCCCCAAACTCAATTTGTTGATCCAGATGATAAAGCACTCAGACATCAAGAAATCTCACCAAGGCTTTCACTTTTGCAAAAGGGTGCAAGCCCACCCCAGCAGTGAAGTAGCAGGTATGGAGGACAAAGGAGGGTTGTCCCCTTTACCCCTAATGCAGGAGGAGCAGCTGACCTCTTTCCCATTGGCTGGTTTGGAGGTTCACACTCTATCCTGATTGGCTAACTCAGACAGCACAAGGGGAATCTGAGGGGTTGCTGAGGAGAAGGGAGAGTAGAGCAGAGGGGATGTGGAGACCAGAAAATCCTTGGCCTGTGATAAGCTGTCTTTGGTTTGTAGCTGTGTTCCTGGGATTAGAACTGAGCAGGCATTTTCTGCAACTTGGTGTGTTCAGGAAGGGCTATCTGGGGTGGGCTGGAGCCCAGGATGGAGTCACTCCTGTTTGATAGAAAAGACAGAACTTACTGTTTCCCATACTTTTAAATTAACTAAATTAAGGGTTTAGTTCTGGATCCACCAAGCCTGTCCTAGACAGCAAGGCCCCCAGGGATGTCTGAGTCCCTCCCCTAATAGCTCCGGGCACACAGAGGAAACAGTCAAGACCTCAGGGAAACCATGACCACACCCATTGAGCCTCTGAAGATACCCAGACTCTGACATCAGAAATCACTTTGTGTTATTTGTTTTATTGTAATTTCTCCCCCTCCCCCAGCCTTTGTATGTTTTGGTTTGGTTCATTTAAATTGGCTCAATAAATCGTTTTGTTTGCTAGCAGAATTCCCAAAGGAGAACATTCAAATCTGCACACAGGAGATTGCCTCCAGGCTTAGCCGTCCAAGTGCCAGGGACTTGGGATGTTTACTCCCTCTGGACATTGGAGCAGGCCCCGCCTGGGGTGGTCTACAGCTCACCTGTGACCCACAGAGGGGCATGGAATTTAGAATTTGGAATGGGATGAGCATCAGTCTTCATAGTTAACAGAGTAGCTGTTGTGGATGTGGGCTGCTGCCTTCTGAGGCATTAATTGAGCTCAGCCACTTCCGTGTTACGAAGTCGCATCAGGCCCTCCATGGCTCAGGTGAATGGTGAGTGGACTTGTGGCCTGCAGCTACGCAGTCATCCCCTGCCTTGGCCAGTGTGGGCTGGGGACACCCACCTTCCTGTCTAAAGTGTGTGTGTGTGGGAGGGGGCTGAGGGACCAGGGACAATGGGTTGGTGAGATATCCTGGAAAACTGGAAACTCAAAATGTTCACCTGAAACAAGATGTCTCCGTGAAAAGCTGTTGCCCAGCCTAGGGCTGGTGACCTGTATGGCATTTGTTAGTACACCCAGGGCTGCATTGCGTGTCCACACACAGTAAGTGTGCACTTGTCTGGTGCTGGGGAAAGGTCAGAAACATCATTCATATTCCACTCCCTGCAACCCCACATGCTTGGTGGCATGTGGCAGGTGAAGCGTTTCTCTGGGGTGTCCTGTGTCTTCTGCTTCTGCCTGTGCATCAGGAGTCGTTGGCTTCCCTGATACCCCGTGGCTTGGGGTGGAGACCAGAGGACTCCAGGGTGGGCCCCGCACCAGCCAGGCCTCCAGGCCTCAGGTCACAAGTGCTGCTCAGGCCTGTCCTGCTGTCTGTGGGGATGGCTTTCTTCTTGTCAAAAATGATCACTTTTATTCTAAGTCTCTTTGTATCTTCATGTCTCCACTTGAAATGTTTGATCTGTGTGGGTTTTCACGGAACATGCCCATTGTGTGTGTGACGTGCACACAGCATTAGATTCTTCTCAATATTTCTAAAACTGAGCTAGCTGCCTGATAACTGCAGCTGCTACCTCATGGTCCACCTGTACTGCTGCTCAGCACTTCCTATGGGCTGCCAGCACCCTCCTAGGAATCCAGTGGCTGTGAGCACCTTCAAGTTTGATTCAGCAAAGATCGGTCCTCACACCAGGGCCTCTCCTACTCCCCTGCAGTGTCCCCAGGTTGTTGCTTTCCGGAGTGAGGTCACTGGTTAAGGAATGGTCATCTTGGTTCCTAATGGTGTTGTCACGCAACTGACCCATCTGCACTAGAGCCCTGAGTGACACAGCAAACCTCTTGGTGGGGAGCCGGCCTGACCCTCCCACTGTGCAGCTCCTTCCGATTCTCCTGCTGACCCGAGGTCCCCAAAAGGCACTGACAGCTCATGGCGCTGGGATGCTGCAGGGTCTCCCAGCCTAAGCACAGGGGCAGCCTTTGACAAGGGCATCCTTGTTCTGTGAGGGCAGCTTCCTGCTCGTCCTGAAAGCAGCCAGCCATCTGTCTCCATCCTTAAGTCCATGTCCTCCTCCTGTCCCTGTGGATGCCCTATCATATATGTCACCTTGTGACATCCCCTTCATGGTCTCATCCCATGCTTTTTCATGTATTCTAAGCCCATTTTGTTCCCCCTGTATAAAACATCAAGTTCCAGAAGAGCAAGGCCCATGTGAATAAAACATGAAGAGTGTGGTGAAGATGGATTTGGGGAAGGAAGAAGTGATGATTCAGCATGGCTGATTGTTACTCTGAAACTGCATCTGATGGGAGGAATAGAGATCTGAATCCAGCGGGTGACAGATTTTGGGGGTTTGATCTCTCATGTGAAGGATGTTTGGAGGAGAATGGTTAGGGTGGATGTTGGAGTGTCCCAGTGTCATCAGGGTCCCTGGCTCTGTGGGGACCCCTTTAATGCATGGCTTCCCTCTTCAAAGTAGCTTCATGGCTCAAAATGACTGCTGGACTTCAGCCATTTCATCCATCTCAGGCATGGAGGATGAAAAGCACAATATGTAAAGAAAAAATGTTCCTCCCATGATGCTGGCTTCCTTGAAAATAGCTTAGTGTCCCTACCTAGCAGCTTTCTTCTTGGCGGCACAGCCAGACTTTAATTACGTAGTCACCAATAGCTCTGTTTTAAAGAGATGTGGTCATAGAGTGGTGCCTCGATTCACAAACTCAGTTCTCTCAATTCTAGTCACAAACCGAACTAGACGAGAACCGAATCAAATTTCCCTGTAAGGTCAACGTTGAACCTAACCACAGAAGCTGATTTGGTTCTTATCCAACTTGATGTACGACCAGAATTGTGGAAAGAATCAAGTTCATGAACTGAGGCACTACTGTAAATACTGTATTTGTGCCTTTCAATTAAAAGTAAAATTATTTTTACATGCTGTTTATATATAAATGGTATTTCTCCAAAGAAGATAGAAAATTGCTGATTTGCACAACAATTGTGGGACTGTGTGATTCAAAAGTTAATTACTCCCCTAGATTCTGTTGTAAATTTGATGGTTGGAGTGTGTTTGCCTCGGGACAATGGACAATCAGTAATAGGGCGAGGTTACTCAGCCATCTGTTTGCCCTAAATCCAAATGTCCCGGGGCCCAGTATCTATAGGACAACCTGTAAACAGGGTGGTCGTAACTGTCAGTCAGGATGTCTGCTGAACATCAGCATGTGACAATGAGCCACTAACCTTTGTTCTTTTTTTTTCTGTGAATCCACGTTAACGCCCCCCTTAACCCCCTATAAAACAACCTCGGACTCTGAGCCAGGGGCCCCTCTGAGCTATTTTGCTTCGGGAGTGCCGTCTGGCCAGACTAATAAAGGTCTGTTTTCCAACATGGCCGGTGTGTTCCTTCCCGGGTGGTCCTCGCTGTAGCTAGCTCCTTGGAGCGTTTGGTAAGGCCTTGGTCTTACATTCTGAAGGCACTGCTGGGATCCTCGGGTGTGCTCCACTTCAGCTCCTTGGAGCATTTGGTAAGGCCCTTGGCCTTGCATTCTGGAGGCACCGCTGGGATCCCTGGGTGTGCTTCACTATAGTCAGCTCCTTGGAGCGTTTGGTAAGGCCCTCGGTCTTACACAATAATGTGCTCAACATCAGTCCTTGGGGCAATGCGAACAAACCAAAATGGAGTCGCAGTTTCCACCCACTAGGAGAGCACAAGAATCAAAAAGACACGGTGACCAAGCCGGGTGGGGTGGCACATGTAATTCCACCTGCAATCCCAGCCCTTTTAGAGGCTGAGGCTGGGGCTGAGGCAGGAGGGTTGCAAGCTCAAGATCAGTCTGGGTAACTTAGCAACTTAGCAAGACCCTGTCTCAAAATTCATATATACAGAGGTCTGGGGATGTAGCTCAGTGTAAAGGCCCAGGGTTCAAGCTCTAGAGGAAAACAAGCAACGGAAAGACCTGGTGACTGGAGTTTACAGGACCTGGAGGCTGGGGCTCCCACAGCGCCCCCTGTGGGACTGTGAAGCAGTGCAGTTGCTTTGGGAGACAGCCTGAGGGCCTCCAAGCCGCAGAACTCAGGGTTACTCCACAGCCCCAAGGTTTCACTTGGAGATGTTGTCCTTGGGCAAGAGAACAGGAGCCTCCCTTGCTCTGATGACTGGCACGGGGACAGGTGTGTGGCTAGGGCCACCGAGGAGGAGCAGCGGGGACCCGCTGGCCCACACACATATAGCTGCGTGGGAGCATCTGTGGCAGCCTTGTGCACAGCAGCCGACGTATAGGAGCAGCAGCCATTTACACTGCCCCATGGTGTCCCCACCATGGAATGGGATTCAGCTGTCAACAGGGGGCGGTGCTGACACATGCTGTGCTGTGGGGGTCTGAAAAACATGCCCAAGAAAAGAGCCAGGCATGGAAGGCTACTTGTGGTGTGGTTCCATTTTTCCCAGTGCCCAGAGCAGGAAAACCCACTGAGACAAAATCTAGATTAATGGTTGTGTGGGGGTGGGAGGAAATGGGGTGCAGTTGCCAGTGGGCTTCCTTATGGGGTGATGAAACACCACCATATTAGAGCCATGTGGGTCGCACACCTCTGTGGATGTCTTAAAAACCATTGTCCATGTTCTAAAGGGTGACCTGTACGGTATATGGATTCCAGCTCAGCAAAGTTGTGTTGAAAATCAGCTTTATGTGTTGGTGAGTTGCATCTCACAATCAATCTCACAAGGAAGAGGCTCACTGGGGAGGAGAGGAGAATTCCTACACAAGGATTTTCAAGGGCTGTATCAGTCGTTGTCTTCTCTTTGTTTGAGTCCTGACTTGGAAGGCAAAGAAGAGGAAGAGAGAGAGGAAGTGCTGCCCTTCACTCCGGGGTCAGATCCCTCAGGCTGGCTGTCCAGATGTCGCCTTTCTGAGTGGCTTTTCTGTCTAGCTGCCTTATTGTTGTAAGAGCGAATCTATTTTTCCAAATGCACAAAGCTTAGGACTGGAGCTGCCATGGTCAGCAGAAGACACGGAAACCACCTTATCTGCGGAACAGCGGCAGATCAGAGGGTTCCTAGAGGTTTCTCTGAGGGGTGAGCAGGAATAGGACAGCCAACAGCCCTGTCACCGCAAGAGGATTCAGGCTGTGACTGTGACCCTGCTCCGTAGACACTGCCCACATGCGCCAGGCGAGCTGCCTAGGACAGGGACCAGTGACTGGAGAAGGAGAGAGATGGGGACCCCCAGGTGGAGGAAGGTGGTGAGGTGGTCGTCAGGCGGAAGAGAGTGAACAAGATGGCAGGGGTGGCCCAAAGGTGCCCCGAAGCCCCTCCTCCAGGCCGACAGCCACGGTCCCAGCAAGCGGGCTAGGTGGGAATGTGGGCCGGAGACGCTGCATGGAGACGCACGCTGGCTGAGGCCATCGGAGAGGGGACAGCCCTTGCTCCCTCTGCCTTCAGACCCACCTTGCTGTGCGTTCTGCATTCCTGAGTCTCCTCATTTTCTCACAGCATCCTGGGGAATCGGGAGGAATAAACTGGCATTTTCCTAGCATATGATCGAGAGGCACCTTTACATTTTTAGCAACGTATTTTAGAAGTCTGTCTACAAACCCACTGCCCCTGACACCCACTTGATGAGCTCAGAGCCTGCAAGCGGTTCTGTTGAAGTGAGAAAAGTGTTTGTCATGGTCCTTTGCTTTAAAGCATGTGATTTTCCTACTTTAATGTCCCTGAAATTGTGATTTGCCATACAATCGAAGGGTCCATCGAGCACTCGTCTTTTTCTTCCTAGTGAGATAGTGTGTTTTTCCATCAGCGCTGTTTTAGATTAGGTGCAAGGGGCCACTTCCTCCAGTCACAAGCTGAGTCATACTATCTTGCCCAACCACGTGCCCAGGTGTGCGTGCCAGGTGGTTCATCCCCATCCTGTGCCCCGTCACCTGTCTGCAGAGACCCTGCGACCACCCTTCTGTCTCTGCAGGCTTTGCCAGTGGACCTCAGGCAGCTCTCCAGCCCTCAGCGCTCTAACTAGGGAAGAACCTGAGCAGCCCTCCCTCCCCAGCCTCTTGCCACAGGTGCTCAGTTGGGTGGCCATCCCTGGAGCTCCTTTAGGTCCCTCCTCAGCGCCAGGCCCTTCCCAGAGTAGCTCTCAAGTGTTGGTGCCTGGGAACCCCAGGGTCAGTAATAGTGACTTTGTTGCCTCCTGGACAGGAAGCCCTGGCTCCACGGCCCATCAGGGCTGCCCTGGCACGGCCACTTCATCTGCCTCCACAGCCTCTCCATAGGTAAGAATTCCAGCTCTCCTCTCTCACCTCGAGGGGTGTGCTGAGCCTCACAGCTGCAGTCCCTGTCTTCCAAGATGGACAGCATCAGCTAGCAGCACATGTTCTCGGGCAGCATGGGTGACATCAAGAGTAACCAGGAGCTCTACCAGGAGTACCTGGCCATGGCCCCCAAGCTGCTGGCCCACATCTCCAAGCTCCTCGCCCTCTGCCACCATTCAGGCATCACTGTGCCCAAGGGCATCAGAAACATCTTCGAGTTCACCTGGGCGGAGCTCATCGCCAACCCTATGGTGCCCACTGGGTCCAACATCCCAGGCTTGGAGGTCAACTTCGGAGTGCCCCTGCTGGTGCAGGTGGAGTCCACCCCAGCGCAGGCCCAAAGGAAGCTGCCCCAGACCCCAACACCACAGCCACCGGCGCCCACCGGCGCCAGGGCAGCCCGGAGCTCGGTTGTACCTGCCCACCAGGCGCCAGCCAGGCAGGAGACACTGCACAGGTTCCAGCAGCAGTCGGTGCACCTGGTGACGGAGCTGTTTGCCCTGAAGATGAGGGTCATGGTGGAGGCCGCATCTGGTAAGGCACCTCACTGGGGCCCCCAACTTCCAGCTCGATGAATACAGGGCAAGCATCCCCCAGCTGGGACTCAGAACTCTTCAGTGACCCCAAAACTGATCCTTGCTGAGTGCCAGTGCGACATCACAGCAGGTGCTGCTGATGAGCTTCAGTCACAACCCAGCTACCCTGACAATAGTGAGAACTGTGTGCAGGAAACACCAGCTGGTCTCACGCAAAGACACTCGGGCTGTGTTATTTCCCCATGCATCTGTAGATATTCCCAAATGCAAAATGCTTCTGGTCCCCCGGCATTTGGATAAGGGGTGCTGACCCTGGGTATAACCAGCATGCGCTGACAAGGGGCAGTGGCTGAGGGTGGGCCTAGGAAGTGAGCTCCTCCCTCTGCCCCTGCTGCTCCTCCCCACCTTCCTGCTATCGCTGCTGCTGCTGACCCAAGATATCTGGGCGGACATATGGGGCGTGCAGAGTGCAGATGGCTGCACCCCAGATGGGCTCCCTGTGGGGTCTGCGATGTGGAGGGCGGTGGCCATGGTTAGACAGTGCCAGGCAGTCAGAACCACGGGGAGTCTGAGAACTGGGGGCCTCCGGCTGAGGGTGTCCTGGGGCAAGGCTGGCACTTCTTGCGGCATCGGTGATCAGGCCCAGTGCCTGGCCTGGGTGTAGGAAGGGAGGCAGTGGGGGCAGCAGAGCCCTGGTGCACAGCTTTCAGCTCCAGACCTGCTCAAAGCCCCCATGCTAGTGCCAGGAGTTAGGCTCCTCTCTCGCTTCCCAAGCCTTTGGCAAACGTCTGGATGTTCCTGGTGCACAGGGAGGAAATGCGTTTCCTCTGACCACTCCCTCACAGGTGCTAACCCCATGGACATCAGCCGGCGCTTCATGGAGGTCAGCCAGCTCCTGCACCTCAGGGCCAAGACGGTGGCCCTTGACTGTCTGATGGGCACTGCGGGGAGGAGCAGCTACTTTGTGGAGGACACGGGGAAAGGTGGGTCCAGACACCACCCACGGAGGCCTTAGAGGTGGAGCACGCCATCCAGAGGGCGGGCTTCCACACAGTGGCACTGAGGATGCAGCAACAAGGGTCCCCAGGCACTCTGGGCAGGGCCTCGAGCTGTGCTCTCAACCCCACAGTGAAGGGCCAGTTGTGAAAACCCCGCATCTGCTGTGCCACCACACAAACACCACTGCGCTGTCCTGGTGTGCAGGGGTCTCTGCTGACTCCATGTCTTCGCTCAGCTGGCCTCGCCCATGGGGAGCGGTGTCTGCCCTGCGCTTCGGGCACCAGCCCGGGAGGCTTGTGCAGACAGCCCTCGGTGAGAGGGGCAAATGAGGGCCCAGAAAGACAGGACTGGAGAGGCAAGCAGAGTCAGGCAGCACAGCGTGCACATCATACCCAGAAGTGTGCAGGGGCGCAGTGTGCCGCCCTCAATTGAGTTTAGAAGCATGCAGGGTGACGATGTGCAACACACAAGTGTGAAAGTGTGAACAGAGTCCAGAGCAAGTGGTCTCTGGCTGAGGAGGCCACAGCCCAGCAGGATGTGTAACAGCTTCCTCTCTTCTGGTGTGTGTGTGTGTGTGTGTGTGTGTGTGCGTGCACGCGCGCACGTGCTTGGGAAACACGTGTCTCCCTCTTAACAGATGTCAAGTGTGTAGCTGTAATATGAGTTCCCTCCGTGCGCTGTGTGTTAGGGCCCCAGCCGTAGGCATCTTGTGACAGCACCTAGGACCAGCATCTCCCCTTGGCCCCACCTTGGCTTCAGAGGCCACAGTGAACTCTTCATGTTCATGCGTTTGTTCTGGATTCCACATGTGTGAGATCACGTGGCATTCCGTTTGTGTGCCTGGATTATTTCATTTAGCACAGTGTGCTCCAGGCCCATCTTGTGTCTTCAGATATGACAAGACTTCCTTTTTAAGGGCTGAATAGTATTCCACTGTAGCTACGAACCACATTGCCTTTATCCATCTGCCGATGGACACCAAGGATAGTTCAAAATCTTGTGTTGTGAACAGAGCTGCAGAGTGGTTGAGGTGTAGACATTTCCTCTGCATACTGAGTTTGTCTCCTTGGATCTACTCCTGCAGTGGGGTTGCTGGACCTGAGGTAGTTCTCTTCTGGAGGACCCTCCACTCGGTTCCCACACATTCCCACAACAGTGCAGCGGGTTTCCCTTTTCCCCACTTCCTGGCCAGCCAGCCCTTGTCCTGTCTCTGGTAAGAGCTGCTCCCTTGGCATGAGGCAGTGTCTCACTGTGTTCTGAATTTCTGCTTTCTGATGATTCACAACACTGAACATTTCCCTCATACACCTGTTGGCCATTTGGACATCTTCTTTTGACAAATATCCATTCTGGCCCTTGGCCCATTTTTTTTTTTTTTTTTTTTTTTTTTTTTTGGTACCGGGGATGGAACTCCAGTCCTTGCGCTTGCACAGCAGGCGGCAAAACCACTGAGCTAAATCCCCGGCCCCTTTGGACCATTTTTTAAAATTTTTATTTATTTATTTTGTGTAGTTCAGGCTGGCCTTGAACTCACTATGTATCCCAAGCTGGCCTTGAACTTGCAACTATCCTCCTGCCTCAGCCTCCCAAGTACTGGGATTACAGGCATGTGCCATCACACCTGGCTGATCATGTTTTAAATCAATTTTTCTGGTGATTTTTTTTTTTTTTTTTTGGTACCAGGGATCAAACTCAGGACCTTTGGCTTTCGAGGCAGGTGGTGGAAACACTGAGCTAAATCTCTGGCCCCTGGTGATGTTTTATATCTTAAAATGGGTAGATACACAAGTATTTGTTTTTAATGCTTACGAGTACTCACTGTTAGGAGGTTTTATAGGGAAGCATTAAGCATTATATCTCATAACCATTCACCCTCATCTATAACATCAACCTCCATTGCCTCCCTCTCTGCCTACCATTAGTATCTTTGCCAGGCTTTCCTTCACAGTTGGAAGTTAAATGCTCAATAATAAGCACACCTGGTAGAAACTGAAAGATGAGACTAGGGACTTATCAAGGACATTGTCTCAAAAATAACAAGAAGGGGCTGGGGATATTGGTTGTTGCGAAGGTGCTAGGTTCAATCCCCACTACCAAAAACAAAGAGATAGGTAGATAGATAGATAGATAGATAGATAGATAGATAGATAGATAGATAGAATAAAACAAAATGTCCAGAAAACAAACCACCTTGCCATATCTAACTGAAGGCCATTTTTCACTTTTCCAATTTCTTTGCTGGTTCCTGTTCTTGGGTGTGTACCTGGAGTTTCACATTTTGCAGTTTCCCTGTTCCTTGGTTTCCTGTATGTGACAGGCCACAGCTGCTTACAGCAGGCTCTGTAGCCTTGCAGCTGCCCCTCTTGCTGATGCCCTTCCCTGCCTGACACTCAGCTGTGGCCGTTGGACTCAAGCCTTGGTCATGGGATCGTTTCCCAGGAGGGATCACCAGGCAGAAGGATGCAGTCTATGCATGGCTTTTCTTCCCAAACGATGATTTCTGCATGGATTCTCTGCACCATCAGAGCTGGTGGGTTCCATCAGAGCATCACCAGCTCTGACCCTTGCTACCCTTTTCACTTCTGCTGAATTAGACGGCACTATGTACGAGTCCTTCTGAGTTCTCTACTCAGGTCCCCTTCGTGTTGCTGGTTATGGTTGTCAGCTCTCTGTCACTGTGAGATAAATACTGAGATAAATCAGCTTTAAGGGAAGAGAGACTCATTTGGGCCCAGACCCCGTGGCTCTTGTTTCTGGGCCTGCGATGGGTCTGGAGAGCAGACAGGGAGCTGGGGGGCAGGACCCAGACCCTCCAGGCCACACCCCCATGACCTCACTTCTGCCCTAGGCCCCACCTCCCTGGAGCCCTGCAGGCTGGAGGAGGCTTGAGGGGATGCTTGAGACCAAGTCCAGAGCGTCAGACTTTGTCCACCTGACATTTTTCTCTATGAACTTGAGTTGAAATGAATGAATGAATTGCCGAATGTTTCCCACCCTAACCAGAGACGTGACCACACTGGGGAGGAATAGGGGCTGATTCAGTGGGGTTTGTGTAAAGTATTGGGCTTTTCTACAAGCAATGAGGTTGGGAAATCTGAATTCTGTTTTTTGATTTTTTCTGAGACTGAGGATCAAACCTAAGGGCATGCTGTCACTGAACTACATCCCCAGCCCCATTTATTTATTTCTCTATTTACTGAGATAAGGTCTTGCTAAATTGCCCAGGCTAGGCTCAGCTGGAATTTGCTATCTTCCTGCCTCAGCCTCCTGAGTAGCTGGAATTACACAGGGGTGAGCCACCACACTTGGCTCCAAATTTGAATCTTCAGTGGTTAGGTATCCCATGGATGGCGCCGTTCTGGGAGAGACTGGTACACTATTGGAGGAGGTCTGCTTCTGTGGCTGATAAGGGGAATGGACAATCCTTAATTTCCTCCTTGCTGGCTCAAGGTTTGCATTCTCAGCAGGTGAAGCCCTCAGATTGCTCTTAATGTAGCCCTGTGCCTGCTGCTTCTCCCAGCTCAGGTGCCAAGTCACTCTTGAGAGATTGGGGGGCAGGGACATTGCTGAGGGGGCCCCTAAAGATGTCCCCTGGCACCCCAGCAGCCCACACTTAGAAAGTCTCCTGTTCCGGGTCCTGGTTGCTTTGTAACAACAGGACACTTTAGAATGTCTGGCTGGCCATACCATGGAAACAGGAAGTCCATGTTGTTTTGATTTTAAAACCATTAGAAGTTTAAGATGAGAAGAGGTATTGCCGTCCCCCTCCTCAGAGTCCTCCATTGACATCTCAGCCATTGGCGTGAACTCACCTTACCAGCTGATCTACCAGTCTTCCACAGCTTGCCTGAGCTTCTCCCTGTCCACAGGAAAGGAAGTCAAGAAGAAACCAGGTGACCGGGTCCCCAGAGGCTCTTCTAGCCCATGGTGGGGAGTGCATGGAGGTGGGAGGGTCAGAGACCCACCAGGTGCCCAGATCGGGCTCTGTAGGAGGGCTGAACAGCTCCCTGGGGACACCCAGGGGAAGTCAGCAGAATCCTGGCCCCCTGCACACTGTTCATCCAAAGGTGCCCCATTCCTGATCCCCTCTCTAGCCTCAGCTCACCCCATGCACAGGGCTCTGTGCTCAGAGAGGGCTCAGCAGGGTGCTGGAGTCTGCCCAGCCCTGTTTGGGTCCCATACTAAATCCAGCTGTGTGTGGAGCAGGACACAGACACAGGTGACTCTCTGGCCTGCTGAGGAGGAAGGGAGGGACAGGCAGTAGGTGAGCATGGACATCAGAAGCATGCCCAGATCTGAGCCCACTTGTGTAGCTGTCCCTGCCACTCCCTGCGGTCCCATTACTCTGCCCTGTCATCCCTGACGTCCCCTTCACCGTCACCAGAAAGAGCGGCCACCCAAGCCGGCCCCCCCAGGCACAGGTGACCTCCCAGGGATTTGCCCAGCTCTTTCCTTCCTCTAGGTGACCCGGATCGGGAATCTGTTTTCCTGAAACTCCCCCAACCTCTCGCCTCTGACTTCAGGTAAATCAAAGATGCTGGAAGACATGTTCAGCAGGTCGCCTTCCCTCCGAGCAGTGGGCCCCTCTTCCGACAATGCCACAGAGTTCACTGACCCGTGCCCTGAGGCCCGGGAGAAGCTGCGGGAGATGTGTCGCCACATGTGAGCTCGGGTGGCAGGGTGGGACAGGCGCTCCTGGGGAGCCCTGTGTGCCTGAAGCACGGGGGCCTGGCACCTGGGAGCTCCAGGCCTTTCCCGGATGCAGAGAGGGCACTGGGTGGCCTGGGCAGCGAGGAGCTGTGCCCTGGCCCAGCTGCTCTTGGCTCTGTGGCAGCTGCCCAGCCGGGGCATCTTGTTGTGGTGCCTGCAAGTCATGGCTCTGGACTTGGCATTCATTTCTTTCTTTTTTTTTTTTTTTTAAATTTTTTTTTTTTCTTTTTTCCCCAGTACTGGAGATGGAATCAGGACCTTGTTGTTGCCAGGCGGGCACAGCACCACTGAGCTATATTCCTGGCCCCAGCATTCATTTCTTAACATGATCTGTCAGCTGTTCTCCTACCAAAAGAAGAAAGGCACCCCTCAGAACAAATAAAGAGCATTGCCATGGGTGACTCACGGCATTGATGATTCGTGGGTTCACAAGGCCTCCCCAGTGACTCAGTGTTTCCCTGAAGGCCCAGGCCGTGAAGGGCATACAAACCAATTTTTTTTTTTTGGTACTGGGGGTTGAACTGGGGACCTTGAGCTTGTGAGGCAGGAGGCCGAACAAACCAATTTGCATCTAATGTCCAAGTCTTTGGGCCTCCAGGGCACTGAGCAGGGAATGGACAGGGGCAGCCTCCCCATCCATCTCCATGTTGGGGACATCCCAGAAGGACTCTTGTCCTCAGGGTCCCGACCCTCCATGCCCAGCACCGTGGGGATGGGAACAGCTCAGGAGTGAGGGCCAGGTTCCAGAGGACATGCTGGTCTCCTTTCCTGCAGAGAAGCCGAGAAGGCCCTGTGGAAAGGGAGGAATGTCTTCTACCCCATGATCCTGCGCAACTACAAAGCAAAGCCCCCTCTCAGCCAGTGTCAGCAGCCAGGGGGGACTCACAGGGCCTGAGTGCCCACGCAAGTGCCCACACGGCAGGGGCACTGACATCCACACCCAGCCCTCACTAGCTCTCCATCCAGCCGAGCCGGCACTCACAGGACTGGAAGGCCCCCAGGAAGCCCACCAAGCTGCACTACACCTTCTACGATGGCTCCTCCTTCGTATAATATCCTTTCTCAGCACTGCCTTTGTGCCCAGGGCCACCTGGCTTCTTAGCCAACAGAGAGGCCTGCAGGGCCTTGGTTGGGGGATGTGCAGCCCGGGGGCAGGAGCAGCAGATGAAGCCTTGAGCTCAGTTCAGGTCAGCAGGAATACACCAACCCCAGCCCAGGCGAGCGCCTGTATACACTGCTGCCCTGCCCTCAGGGATGCGGGGGACCAGAGGCTAGAGACCTCTCCCTGTGGCTGCCAGGCCGTGGCCTCCATGACTCTGTCCCTGTGGTCCTGGCCCAGTTGGTCTGCACTGAGGTCCACTGGATCCAAGCTATGGGTGTACGGGGGACAAAAGGGGACACAGCTTCGCTCTGAGAAAGGACACTCCAGCTAGGGAGGGAGCCTGAGGCTGCTGCCCTGTCTACTCTAGCCTGAGGCAAGTGGCTGCCCACACCTGAGGGGCACCTGTAGTTCCAGCACAAGGGGCAGCATTGGGGTGTGGGCACTGCAGCAGAGGAGGGGGCTCTGATGAGGCCGTGCCCACTCCAGGCTGTGATGTCGACCGTGGGACTCCTCCTGGCTGTCATTTCTGGGCCTTCTCTGTGGAAATGGGGATCCAGACCCATTGGGATGGTGTGACCTCCTGAGTGCCACACAGGAATTTGATGGCAACACCTCCAATGAGTGTGTGAGGCAGAGCCAAGGCAAGTGCAGCCTCACTGGACGTGGGGATTGTGTGCCTGAGGAGGAGAGGGAGGAGGACTGTCCCAGCCACTTCCACATTGGTCAGGCCCCAGGCCACATCTGGGTTCCTCTGCCCTGAACAGGGAACTCAGAATTTAAGGACCTTGTCAAAGAGGCGTCATTGTTTCTCTGTAAATGAATCCATTCATCACTCCCTCCCTCCAGGCCACAGCAGACCTGTTGGTGGGAGCTGTGCCGGCAAGGGGGGGCCCCTTCCTGCTCTTCACTGCCTCTAATAAGTTCACCTCCCTGAGGTCCCCACCAGGGATTGTTTGCCGTGTTAGGAGGATCTGGGCTGCACCCTTTGCCCTCTCCCTATCTTGACTTCTGAGGCCCCCAGGGCAGGGCCACCTCAAGTCTTGGACCATTGCTGCTCCAACAATGGTCACATCTGGCACTGATGCTTTTCCTCTTCAGAAGTCGTGAGAGGCTGGGGCTCAGGGTTCCGTTCTTCTTGGTAACACTGCATGCCTCAGTAGGACCCAGTGACCATCCCGGGGAAATTCTGTGTCACTGCTCAAATGGCCAAGTGTGTGGTTTGCTGTGTGATCCCTCTGAGAATGAAAGTAGGTTGGGAAAACACTTCAGCTGGTGGCATCTGTGGATCACTGGGCCAGCTGTGGACTCTGTTTACACAGAGATGACTGATGGGCAAGTGCACGGGTGGAAACAATCCACCCTTTTTAAAATTTCTTTTCTTTTTTAATTTTTTTTTTAATCCACCCTCTTTAGGGTGCACTGGCCACCTGCAGACCTCTAATTTCCCTTAGACTTCTTCATCCATTGGTTGTTTCAGACTGTGCTGTTTAATTTCCAAAACTTGTGAATTTTCCAAATTTCCTTCCTTTTACTTTCATTCTACCGTGATCAGAAAAGATACTTTCTACGGTTTTACTCTTTAAAATTTTATTGAGGTTTTGTGGCCTACTATGTTGTCTGTACTGGTTGAGTAGTACCTCCCCCCAGCCCATATCTATTTGGAAACGCAGTCTTTGTAGATATGATTATTAAGATGCAGTTTTGTGGAACTAGAATGGCCCTACTGCAGGGACCAGTGCACCTGCAAGAAGAGGAAAAGACAGTCAACACAGAGGTAAGAGGCCATGTGGTAACTGAGGCAGAGACTGGGATGATGACCTGTATGCTAGAGAATGACAAGGGCTCCTGGTAACCACTAGAAACCAGAAAGAGTGAGGAAGGATTCTTCCCAGGAGCCTCCAATCCCACAGCCCTGTTGCCACCTTGATTTCCTAATTTTAGCCCCCACAGCTGTGAGGGAATAAATGCCTGATGCTTTTTGAGCCACCAGGTCTGTGGTAGTTTCTTAGGGTAACTCCAGGAAACCAGTACACCTGGGTATTACAATTGCTAAACTAATTTGAGTTGTTTTTAATTAATTGATAAACTACTTTGAATTAGTAACAATTTAGCCTCCATTGTGTATAAAGCTCTGCTCAAGAACTATTTGTCCCCCTTTATTTTGCTTGATCAGAAATTGCATCTTTAAATATACATTAATTGCCTATAAGTGTGGATTTATAATTACTGTTTTATGCATTTATTAGCAAAATCATGTAGGAAAAAGCCAAATTATAGACTGAAAATACAAGCGTACTAAATTTTTTATGTATTTACCAAGTTATCTTTAGCAGCAGTTTTCTTTTGGGGGGTCTTAGACTACTATTTTTTTGTCCTCCCATTCCAGCCTGAAGAAGTCCTGTTAGCATTTTCATAGGGCAGGTCTGACAGGGATGAACTGAACTCCTTCTGCTGCTTTTTACCTGGGAATGTGTTAATTTCTTCATTTTTAAGGCTATTTTAAAATTGGAATAGACTTCTTGGTTTACAGTCTTGTTGGTGTTTTTCCTTTGAGCTCTTTAAATGTTTGGCCTTCATAGTTTTTGATGAGAAATTAGCACCTTATCTCACCAGGCCTCACACGAACCTCATCTCTTCCCTCTTGCTTCTTACAAGGTTGTTTTTGACAGTTGATTATAATATGTCTCTTATCCTACTTGGATTTGCTGAGCTTCTTGAACATGTAGATTTATGCCTTTCACCAAATTTGGGAAGTTCTGTTTCTTTCTCTGTATCTTCCTTCTGGAACTCCCAATATGCATATGTTAGTATGCTTCATGGTGGTCCCTGAGTCTCTATTCTTTGTTTGTTTGGTTTCTTTGAACCCAGGGTTTTCATCCTCAGTACTCACTAGCATGCTTTTTTATTTTAGACAGGGTCTCCCAAAGTTGCTAAACTCCCTAGGTTCATTTGAATTTGTGAGCTTCCTTCCTCAGCTTCCCAGAGTGCGGGGATTATAGGTTTTTTTCATTCTTTATTCTTTCTGCTCCACACTCTGCATAATTTCAACTGATAATGTCTTTATACCAATGTTTTCTTCCTGTTGCTCTAATCTGATTCTAACATGTTTAGAGAAGTTTTCCTTTCAGTTATTGTATTATTCAGCTCCAGAAGTTTTACTCGACCACTCATTAAAATTTTTGTATGTTAATTCCTTTTTTTTTCAGCTGGTAAGAAAGATTTAGGAAGATAGAATCCAGTGCCAACCACTGAAATTCTTCTATCTGGGGTACTTCTTGTGAGATTCCTGCATACAGGACAGAGCTGCCAATGCCATGTCCTGCTCAGTCAGGATCATGGCTTTCTTGCCCTGCATTAGTCAGCTCTCTCCTTGCTGAGCTGGACACCCACAATTTAAAGGAGGAGATGCTTAATTTGGCTCACAGTCTCAGAAGATTCAGCCCATGGTTGGCTGCTCCAAGGCAGAAACATCATGGCAGAAGGATGTGGAGGAGCAAAGATGTTTAGTTCTTGTCAGCCAGGAAGTAGAGCAGGGGAAAAGCACCAGAAAGGAAGTGGCCAGGGACCAGACATAGACCCCAAGGCCACACCCCCATGACCCACCCAGATACCCAGGAGTATGCTCCACCAATCCCTCAAGTAGATCCCCAACCCAATGTTACACCCCACCTTAGCTGTCATGGGGCCCCTTAACTAGAGAATGGACAGGAAGACATTGCTCACTCTCCTCTTTGGCCATAATGGGAGGCAGCCTGGCAGTGTAGAAATACTGCTTGCCCCAGAGATCAGATCCTGTTCTGCTCCTTGTGGTATGACATGGACAGGTCATTTTTATACTCTGAATTCCTTGTGAGTAGGGTGATAATTCATCTTGGTTTTCCTGGGACTTTCCTGGTTTTAGCACCAGAAGTCCTTTGTACCCAAAACCCACAGACCCAGGGAAACCCTGCTCATCTATGATATGGAGATAATACTACCTGCCACAGCTGTGTGATGAACAAAAGACCCAGGAGAACACCTGGGTGGTGATTGGTTTTCATAGTGATTGAATCATTACATATGCAAAGTGTGGAAAGCCTCTTTGAAGATCGGGAGTGATGCACCAGGCAGCTGACACTCTGAAATGTAGATTTGCTTTTGTGGGCACCATAGAGCAGAACCCAGAGAAATTCTGTTAGGTCTACTTGACTACTGCTGCCAGCTATCCCTCTGGAAACATTGCTGTATGTCAGATCCCCACATGCTGCAGAGGGAGAGCCATCACTTGCCTGTTTAACGACACACCTAACTACTCCTTCCTGGCCCTGTTCAATGCTGAAGGCCAGGGCTGTGTTCACTACAACCTAAAGACATAGTAAGTGAGTTGGGAGACATTTACCCCCATTCAACACTCCTTTAGGGTAGTGAGGGGACTGGGGTGGTGACTGATTCCCTGGCTAAAGGAGGGTCCAGGGTGTGCCCAGAGGTCTAGGGAGGCAGGCAGTGAGGCAGGGGCAAAGCAGTGCCTGCTGGAGTGTAGACATTTAGAGGCCACCCCTTGCCTGCTGGGTCTGTGTCACAGCACTGAGAAGGGTTTCGCTCAGGTCTTCCTCAACACCCCAGAGTGCTAACATCTTAACTGCTGGTCAGTTCATGGAAGAACATTTTTATGTTTACAGGGCTAGGGATTGGACCCAGGGCCTCATATGTGCTAGGCATGGTCACTGAGCCACCTCCCCTGCCCCCCACAGAAGGATCCATTAGTGGAGAACACTATCTGGAATCAGGAGTGGGTGGCAGAGAGATGTGGTCACCACTTCTGAAGTCTCTTAAGAAACCACTAGTTCTTGCCAGCTCAAGGTTGATTTTTTCTGGCTTCTCCTCAGAAACTGTTCTTGGAAAGGATGATTTATTCTCATGTTATAGATGTCCTACTTCCCATTTGGGTGCCTGATTTCTCGTGTGCTCAGGCTCCTGGGTAACAGAACACAAACATCCTTTCTTTCCTTCCTAAGTTTGGCCTGATGCTGTCCTCTCCCTCAGACTGGCCCTTCTCCACAGACCCCATATCCTCAACAGATGCCAAGGGGCCACAGGCCATCCTAGGCAGGGGAAGCAGGCTGTCACGGGTCTCCACGTTCCTCTAGCCTGGAGCAGATGCTCCCAGTCTGCATGGATGTGGGCTTCCGTCAAGACCTGGCAGCAGCTCTCCCCACTGTGTCTCCCAGCTGCCCCTACGTCTTGGTCTTGGATGAGGAAGGTGGGACCACCAACGACCACAAGGGCTTTGTGGTTCACAAGTGGAGCTGGACATCTAAGACGGAGACTCTACTCTCCTACAAGGTAGGGTGGGCAATGTGGGAAGACAGCACCTCCCACACACTGCCCAGCACCACTGGGCCAGGAGCTGCCCAAAAGGTAAGGATCCTACCCAGCAGGCATCCTGGATGCATTCTCGGGCCCAGTTGGTGGCAGTGCCCAGGGTGGGCTGATGTGCACTTTCTACCACATTCAGCAACTAGTTGCTGCTATGTTGACCTGCTATGGCAATGTCATTCCTATTTAATTTTTATTATTATTGTCATTATATTTTTATTGGACAAATGCCCTTTATATTGTGAAGTAACCATTATAGTAGTTGATAGCTCTATTTTTAATGCTGATAAGTATCAATAATAAGAGGTCTCCCTAGTTCTTGTTTTCATAATTTTATTATTTATGAAATAAATCCAGAAGTTGAGGTGGCTGAGAGACGTAAACTTCTTTCATCTTTTTGGTTGTTCAGTTAGCCATTCACCAAAGATTTATTAAATAATAATGCTGATTTTCTAATATTAAGTTTATTAGTGGAGCTACTGAGTGTGCTTGCCACTGTACTAGGACAGACCTACTAGTGCCATCATTGGCATTACTGGCACCGTTGTACGGATACTACTTTGTTAGAACCTCATTGTCAGATGTTCACCAGGGCCCCACTAGGTGCCTCCCAGTGGTACATCCCAGCAGTGACAACCAAACCCATCTCCAGACGATGCCAAATTCAGCCTCTAAGGGGCAGAGTTTCTCAATAGTGGGTAAAAAGATAAACAAGACCCCACAAGAAGCTCAGGGTCAGAGAAGTAATGAAGCACAGGACAGGCAGGAATGGGAGCTGGGGCAGAGGGGCACACTTATTGGACTGGGATTCAGAGAAAGATCACAGAACACAAAACCCACCTAAGTTGGCCTGAGAGGGAGCCCCAAAGGGAGGGCTATGGACAGAAGCACTCAGGGTGCTGATGTTTACCTGTCTCTGCACTTGGTGTATCCTCTTCACTGGCCACTAGGGTCTCATCTTTAGAATGTGGTCCTCCAGACCACATCTCACTAAGATTTCCCTCCTTCATGATGCCCAGTCCCTGCCTGGCTCTCTCTTCTCCAGTGCTCACAGCCTGGGTCATCAGCAGTCAGCTCCGTGATGAAGTGTTCTTGGCTGCTTGCACATCAGAATCACCTCTGGAACTTTGAACAAAATACAGAGCCCAGGCACAGCCCCCAAGAGACTCTGACTCAGTTGGTCTGTCAAGAGTTTCAGATTTCTGCTGTTTCCCCAAGTATTTCCGATGCTGGCTAGGTTTGTCTCCAAGATCTCAGTCAGCTGAAGGCAGGCACTGTATGTCATGTATGTGTGTGGCCCAGCAGAGAACTGGGGTGATAGTGTGCAGAGTGGAGTTCTTGTGATGATATTGCCAGACCTCGGTGGTCTCACCAGCTTCTCATCTGGTGGTGGTGGGAGGGTTACCAGCCTGGCCCTTCTGCCTCATGCTGCTTTTGTGAGAACTGAATGAGATAATGGAGACAAAGCAACCTGACATCACTAAGGGAAGTCAGCAGAGTGTGTGGTTGTTGTTACATTCCCTGGAACTGATGTTAGTGGGGCATTTTCATGCTGTCTTGGACCAATTTATTTTTACCCAAGCATTAAATGTTTCTAGTTTTTGTCATCCCAATGAAAACTCAAGTTTCCCTCTGGTACCCTTTCTATCCAACCTGAAAAACTTCCTGTGGCATTTCTTGAACTGCAGATCTGATGCAACACCTCTATTTCCCTTTTGTGAAAATCTCATGATTAAAGCTATTTTTTGATGAATATGGAATTCTGGGTTGGCTTTTTCTCTTTTATTATTACATTTTTGGTACCAGGGATCAAACTCGGGACCTTGCACTTGGAAGGCAGGCAGCGAAACCACTGAGCTAAATCCCCAGCCCATTTTCTTTTAGTACTTTAAAGACATTTTTCCACTGTGCCTGTCCTTCATAGCTTACTATGAGAAGTCTGTCATTATTCAAATTACAGCTCATTTTCTCTAGCTGCTTTTAAGATGTTCTCTTTTCTTGGGTTTTCTAAGTTTGATAATATATCAAGGTGTGGTTTTCTTGTTGTTGTTTTTTGTTTGTTTTTGCTTTTTTTTTTTGGTACTGGGGATCGAACTCGGGTCCTTGCGAACTCGGGTCCTTGCGCTTGCAAGGCAGGCAGCGAAACCACTGAGCTAAATCCCTGGCCCAAGGTGTGGTTTTCTTAAAGTTTATTCTATTGAGGGTTTACTGACCTTTTTTTTTTTTTTTTTTTCTGGTATCAGGGATTAAACTCGGGACCTTGCACTCTCAAGGCAGTTGACCACTGATTTAGCATCACTGAGCTAAATCCCTGGGCCAACTGACCTTCTTTAATCAGTAAATTTATATACATTGACATCACCAAATTTGGGAAATCTAAAGCTTCTTTGGATAAAACTATGTTCCTCCCCCCTTTCTTTCTGAGACTCCAATTATATGTATTTTAGACCTTTTGGTATTATTCCAAAGGTTCTTCAAGCTCTGTTTTGTAATTTTTCTTGACCTGCCTGTCTCCAACTTCACTCGCTTCTTTCTGTCATCTCCATTCCATTGTTCGGTAATTCTTTTGAAATTTTAAAATTTCAGTTATCAGTTCTAGAATTTCCATTAAGTTATTTTTAGTTTCTATGTCTCTGTTGAGAATTTACTATTTTATAATTCCTTACAAGTATATTTTTCCTTTACCTCTTTGAATAAAGTTAAATTAGTTGCTTTAAAGTCCTTGTCTGAAAACAGTGATGCCATGGTCACATCAGGCAGGCTTGGTCTCTGTTGGCTTGAGTATATGTGCTGCCAAAGTGACCATTCCATTGCCTTGAGAATCGGTTACTATTCCCCAGCTTTGCACCTGCTGAATAATTTGGGGATTGTAGGCAGACACTGCAACTGTTATGCTGTGGGATCTCTGAATTCTGACACACTTCTCTGAAGGTATCCTTGTTCTGTTGTAACAGGCAAAGAACTTGGTTGGACTTAATCACACATCATCTCATCAGCAGTGGGCAGCAGCTCGGGCAGTTATTGTCTGCCCTGCTCATGTGTGGTCCAGCAATCAGCCAGAGATGTGTGAGTGGCTCACACACACTTGGGGCTTTCCTGACTGTCCCTCTGGGATTCTCTCCCTGTGCTCCTGTGTCTGTGGCTACCCCAGGCTGTGCCTGCAGGTTCTCCAGCCAGGAAGGTAGTAGATTTCAGCTGTGACTTCGGCCTACCTTCAACCCCAAGCTGGGAATCTGAAACTCATCCTGTGTTGCTTCTCTAAGTTTGGGCTCCTGCTTTTGTCTACTTCTCGGAGCCTTTGGGTAGCTGTTTCTAGTATTTTTTTCAAATTTATAGTCCTCTGTGGGAGGGTCAGCCTGTTAGGAGTGGCTCAGCTGTACTGGAAGTGGAACCAGCTGGTTAGTTTTTACTCCACAGGCTGGAGTGCTCAGCCCAGCATCTGTGGAAGCCTGGCAGGAGAGGGGAGACCAGTGGGTGGTTATGGGCCAGACACAACATGATAAAAATATTGGCCACATCTTTAAGAGCCATTTCAATGAAAGAACGCCATGGCATTCCAGCACAGGATGTAGGCATAGGTGAGAGCTGGTGGGAACTACAGATGACTCCATGATGGGCTGTGAGTGGAAACAGAAACTTTCCCAGAGGGCCGGGGACCGGTGTGGTTTCAGACGTGCCATTGTGTCTCTGGGCTACTGTGACATGGGTCCTGACCTGTGTGAGAGATTGGGGGTGACAGGTAGGATGTGACAGGCTTGGTAATGACCTCTGAAGGAGACAAGCTTTCCCTAGGTTTGCAGAGCGCCCACATTTGGGGGACTGGGGGGATGAGGAGAAACTGAACAGGCAGCAGAGCCGCACCATGCTGGCCTCATGCGTGTTTATCCCGTGAAATGTGTTCAGTGCCCTCAGGGAAGGAGCCTGTTCCAGTCCCCACACCAGAGACGCTAACAGCCATGCCAGCACTCGAACCCTGCCCTGCTGTACAGCGTGAGCTCTCAGCCACAGCTCTATTCTGTACCTTTTAGCAGAACAGGGAGGGCAGAGCTTCCTGGAAATGAGAGTGAGCAACAAGATGGAAGATGTCACAGGCTCAACTTGTCACAATTCCACATCTTTGGGGTGGGAGGGCATGAGCGCCCAGACTGCAGAGAGGAGGGAGACACAGACAGCAGCTACAGAGTGGAAGGAAGGAGTTCACAGGGGACCCGGAGCACTGAGGAGCAGGGAGCTCAGCAGAGCAGGGCTGCACACTCGGGCATGCACGGGGCTGCCACGGACAAGCATGCTCTGCACATGCACACTGCTCAGGGGCCTGCACACCCTGACAGCCCCCGCTCACTCTGGGCAGGGCCTTCACAGCCCCAAAGCCTCCTCCACCGTCTGTCGAATCTGAATCTCATTATAGCCTTTCAGCCATTCCCTGGTGAAGGTTTTGAGGTTCAGAGATGCTACAGGAATTAACAGGAGGCAAAACAGTGTTGTCGAGGCCTCTGAGTCTGCAGGAAGGACATCTGCCCTCCCTGGGCTCCCCAGGAGCCTGTCCTCTTGGTGTGTGTGGGGGGAGTAGCTTCTTGTCCCCTTTTCTGCCTGTCTCTGGCTGTGCACAAGGCAAGAGTTGGTGACAGTTTGCTGGCTTTAGGGGAAAGGACCAAGCATGTGGGCATTGGGCCCTTTGGGTTCCCTTTGGCTCCTGCCCACCCTGTGCCTTCCTGCCTGCAGTGGGACAGGACTCATAGTGTGACCTTGTTCAGGGAAAGAGAGTCAGCTTCTGGTCCCACTACCTGACCCTCTGTCTCTCACTGATGGGTCTAGGCTGGGATGGGAGGGAAGGAGGACTGGTCCCTTCCTCAGGTCACAAAGATGGATTCCCCTGCCTTCCCCCCGGCAGCTCAGTTCCGGCAGAGGAATAGAAAGAGCTTATCCCAGCCCCAGGCCAAGAGCAGCTCTGGAGGGGTGGGTGGGATCCCAGGGCAGGGTCTCTGAGCGTGGTTTCTCCACCCAAAAAGTAAATGAACAGCTGAAGCTCAAGGTGCTGGGACAGGACTCCATTGTGGTCACCTTCACATCCTTGAATGAGACAGTGACGCTCACTGTGTCAGCCAGAAATTGTCCCCATGGGATGGCACACGAAAAGCGGGTAAGGCACAGCAGCTGACTCCCCATGCTCCCACTCCCACCCCAGGTCTTGCTACCTCTCCCACCCCACCCAGACCCCTGTGTCCCTCACCGCATCATTTGCTGCCGGGCCTTAGTTCTGCCTCCCTGCGCTCTTAGTGTCTGCTGGGGTTCTGCAGTGGGAGGCTGCAGAACCCCTTGTGGACTGCCATGATCAGAGACCGGGTGAGCACCCGGACCAAGAAGCCTGGAAAATGCAGCTTCAGCATGGCTCGCCAAGGCCCTCGAGGTTCCCCCAGTCTCCCCAACTCAGTTCTTCTCTGGGTTGGGTTTATTCTCAGAGCTTCTCCCCACTGGGGGCAAGATGACCAGAACCGCACATCCTAGACTCTCTAGCAGGGTGCCAGCATCTGCCTCCCTCACACAAGGCCCTGAGCTCCATCTTGAGCCCCGCACCACAGAGAGGAAGGAGGTGGAGAAGGAGGAGAACCAAGATGTTCCTGTGGGCTTGCCTGGGAGGCGAGACCCACCCCAGGTAGCACCCAGGCCGGGATGAGGGGAAGCACTGTCCTGAGGGAGCCTCAGGCACAGAGAGGTGTGATGGGACAGGAAAGCCACCAGTGCATCCCTCTACCCTCTTGCCTGGCCAGGTTGGGCTCCCCCTCCCTTGCTCAGCCTCAGCTGCCCAGCCTCCATTCACCACTTCTTCATATGACTTGGTCTCCTCACCAAGTTGGGGGCTCCCTGGGTTCCTCCCAACACCTGCTGCCCGGGCCAGCAAAGGATGGCTTTGGTGATGCATGTCATCCCCCAGGTCCAAGAGGGACCAGTTCTGGGACCTCCCGTACACATGCAAGTCCCCTGCACAAAATGACACCAGTCTGCCTTTTAGCCCGCAGCCTTCTGGAGTGTGTTTAAATCATCTCTAGATGACTTATAAACATTAATGCAATAGAAATGCCATGTAAATCACTCAGGGAGAAGGAAGAATAAAATATCTGTATGCATCCAATCGAGATGTGATTCTGCCAGGCCGGGGATTTAGCTCAGTGACACCACACTTGCCTCGCAAGTGCAAGGTCCTGAGTTCAATCACCAGTACCAAAAAATGGAATTCTAAAACCATATGTGATTCTGCCTGCATAAGTTCAATCTGAGGGTGTAGCCCCACAGGATGGAGCCCAACTGCTTTCTAGTGTTCCTAGTGGAGACTGGAAATACAGTTCTTCACTCCACTGGGTCTCCACGGATCCTCCCGGAGCTGGTGCAAGTCACCATCGTGGAAGGAGCTGGAGAAGGTGCAGAGGACACAGTCCCCATGTCTTGAGGGCCCCAGAGAAATGTCCCCAAGTGTGCTTTGTGGGATGTGCTCCAGGGAGCAGAAGTAGAGGCCACACCTCCAGCTAGCCCAGGGCTGCTCCCACATGCACAGTGCACGGCAGAATTGTGAGCAGCACCCTTCCCTCTCCAAGGATTCCTGGCCCATTTGATAAACTAAGCTGAGCAGGAGGATCCAGACCTGGAACATCTACCCGAGCCTGCCCTAATCTTGGGGAGCCTCTGGTCTGGAAGGGTCGTGAAGACATTTGGCCAGGACTGCATAGTGACACAGGGACACAGGAGTACGCATCAGGACATCAGAGCAGACACAGGAGGAAACACTGTGTGTTCTTGGAGGAAAGCCTTAAATCTGCTTTTCCAGGTGCTTTCTCTAGCACACTTAACCTACATCGATTCATTCACTCAACCCAGAGACATTCCTCCTGACTACAGCAAGCCAGGGTGGCTGCCAGGGAGCCAGAGACAAAGCCATGCTCTCTCCAGGCTCTAGATGCTCTCCACAAGGAAAGGCCAAAAGCTTTCACAGCATAATCCAGCCTAACCAGTGAGGTGTGGCAGTCAGAGGGGTATGCAGGGGTTGTGGGGATGAGGAGAGAACGCGTTCCAGAAGGGATCTCCCAGGACACCAGGACATGCGATGCTGAGGGTTCAACCAACACTGCTTCTACAAAGGGAATGATAACCGTGGGCTGGAGCCAGGTGTAGGGGTAAGCACTTGGTGGGTGTGTATGGAGCCCTAGGTTCCACCCCCAGGACCAGGAAGAAAGGGGAGAGACAGAGAGAGCAGGTAGCTGCATTCATCCCACCCCCTGGCTCCATCTTCTTGTTATAAAGGTCACTGTCAAGGACACACTATGTGAGGTCACGCTTCTGCACTGCCTGAAAACCATTAACAGGTAGAAAGAAAACATGAGCTTTTTTTTCCCGTTCAGAGGCAGTTGGGGCCAGGGATTTAGCTCAGTGTTTCCGCCCCCTGCCTCACAAGCGCAAGGTCCCGAGTTCGATCTCCGATACAAAAAAAAAAACCCCAAAACTAAAAACCAAAAACCAAACAGGTGGTTAACTTCAGGAAACTCCATTCTCATCAAATTGCAGTCAGGCTCTGCTCTCCAGCAGTCTCTGGCTGGGGGCTCTGAAGTGTAGAATGCAGCTGAGGACCAGAATGTGTGCATTAGAGACCCCTGAACAGCGAAAAGTCACCCAAAGTCTCTGCCACGCATACTCTCCTAGCCAGGGAAGCCCCTCTGCCTCAAGCCTGGTGCACCTCTCCTTAGTGTGGCTTCAGCCAGCTAGAACCCAAGTCCTGAGCTGTGCTGTCACCTACAGGGCTGCTGAGCTGGGGACAGTGTGAGGTCCAGACCCAAGCAGAGTCGGACTCCGAGAAGATGCAGCCTCTCAAAGGCTCAGGGACAGAAGGGCATGGAACGTCCTCATCATGGCCTATTTTTATTTCATGCTGAAATGGTCATATTTTTATACCCTGGGCTAAATAAACATAGAATCAGAAGTAATTCCACCTTTCCAAAACATTTCTCATGTGGCTGCTAAATGTTTACAAGCAGCTCATGTTATACTCCTATGCTACTGTGCTGGCGTCCAGCGTGGGTGTCTACCACAGTAGGTTCGTGAAGGCCCGGGGGCAGGAGGAGGCTGAGATGTTGTTAAAATGACACAATAACTCAGAAAGCATAACTGCCTTGGGGTTTAACACAGGGATGAGCAGACCAGTATGTTAACACCGCCTTGCCGAATAGCACCACGTTAGGAAGGGCACCACGTTAAGGAAGGGGGCAGCGTGGGTCAAAGCAGCCTCTGCATGAGACACAGGGTCTATGCTGTCCCACAGACCAGGACTTCCACCTGGAGGACCAGGAAAAATGACTCCATGTTACAGTGTCTTGTAGCAACAGCACTGCCGGATGCTGACCCTGACTGCCCGAATCAGGGTCCTGGGATATTTATACATGAAATCCTGAGGCTCCAACGATCGGTGCATTTTAGATCTTGGAACCCTGAGAGTTGTCACCACCCCACCCCAGGAAGAGGGGGCCTAGGCCAGGCTCTTCCCTGGCCGGACCTCAGTTTCCCTTTATGTGTAAACATGTGGAAAGCCACTTTAACACACTCTAATTCTGGTGCTTTTATAATCTTTTCAAGCCTGTCGTGTGTGTGCTGCTTTGGGGATAGTTCCACAAAATCTCTGGACACCTATGACAGCCGGGGCAGAGCAGTCGCTTCCTCCTGCAGAGTCTCCATCACTAGGAAGCGTGTGAAATGGTTTCCCGAGTGCTGTCTTCCTGGAAAAGCCACCCATCATAGTGACAGGCAGAGTGGCTGCCCAGCTTTTACAGCTGGGGGCCCTGGCTCCTCACTGAGGTCGTCCATCACAGCAGTGCCTCAATGTCAATGCTTTATTAGCCCAGAGCCACTCAAATCCTTTTCAGAAGCAGGCTGGGTATAAATTACAAATAAATAAATGAAGTTAGCCAGGAGCAGTGGCTGGAGCCAGCCATCAAAGGCAACGGGCTTTCCTGTTAGCTCGGTGTCCTTTATGAAGCCTCTGCAGGGGAGGAAGGTCATGTGGCCAACATTGGCCTTCCCAGAAAATCTGTCCTCTGCCCACCCAGCCTCTCCACTGAGGCCTGAATCCCACCCATACTCTGCATCACGTGGGACTGCTAAAAGCACCAACCACCCTTGAGGAGGCTCGGGCTGCGTCAGCGTTGGGGAAGATGTGTCCTGTGTACCCTCCAATACCGCATGAGGGAGGCTGGCAGGACACACTCCCAGGGGTTTCAGGACTGGAAAATTATTTTAAAATTTTTTGGTTTATTTCTGAGTCAGAGTCTTGCTATGTATCCCAGCCTGGCCTCGAACTTGAGGTGATCCTCTTGCCTCAGCCTCTTGAGTGCTAAGATTACAGGCGTGCCACCACACCTGTCTGGGACAGCATTTATGGAGCACTTTCTGCATGAACAGAGACCATGCAGGACTCAGCCTCCTCTGGAGCCTGCAGTCCAGTGGGGAGACTACTCTGACGCTTGGGTGCTTGGAGGGCATTCAGGGAAGGGGACAGCACACATCCTGCCCAGCAAGTGCCAACCCCTCACCTCCCATCTTGCCCCCAGGTGGCCCACAGAATCAGCACTGATGACAAGGTGTCCAAGATGAGCCGCACCCTGGCTGAGATCAAGAAGCGGTTCCAGAAGACAGCGTCTCAGTTCATGAACTCCGTGCTGCTGGCAGCAGGTGAGGCCCAAGGGCCAGAGACTCAGTGATGGCCACAGTGTCCCAGGTCTTCCTGCCCATCTGCGCCTGGGCACCCAGGCATCCCCACCATGGATGGGGTCTTGGGCCCCGCTCTGAGGGACTGAGGGGTGAACCTGGTCAACTTCTGTTTCTGAGCTCTCTTGTGTCTCTGTCTCCATGTGGCTACCTTTTCGTGTCCCTCTGTGCCCCTCTCCCATATCTCTGTCACCTCTCAATGTCATCTCCCATGTGGTCCAGTGTCCATGTGCAACCCCGTTTCTTTCTCCCTCAGAGAAAGGCAGTCTCAGGACCCTTGCACATCTGTTGGGGCTCCCAGTTCTCACAGCTGATGGGAAGGCAACAGGGGGATCTCTACCCCTTCTCCTCTGGCTGGGCTTACAGAGCTTTGGTGCCCCCTGGCCTTTCCAGGGAGCTTGTCCTTTCCCTGTCTCCTCTGCTGGGAGCCACCCTAGCCTTCCATAGCAGAAGGGGTCACAACTCCTCTGGCCCATGGCTCCCTGCACCTCTATGGTTACAAACCTTGATACCCAACACAGGACCCATTTCCTTCCTGCCAGAGCCCTGCCCTGGGCTGCCTCTGCCTGCCCAGAGCCTCGCTCTGCAGGAATGAGAGGGCCACTGCCTCAGGAACTGTCTGGTCTGAGAGGGAGTCAGGGAAGACAGAAATCAACCCAGCACAGCACGGCAGAAAAAGAGGATGGCATTGCACTGCAGGGACAGGAACCAATATTTTTGGGAAGAGCTAGGACTTCCGGTGGAGCCAGTACTTCTAGCTCCAGGGTCAGACAGCAAGCAGAGAGGACACAGGGCGTCCACAGGGAGGGAGTTGAGGCCGGGTCTGGGTGAGTGTGTTTCGTGAGCAGCGTCCTGTGTTAGTCCAGTGGTCACAGAGCCACCCAGCAGGGCTGGTGAGGGCAGGAGGGCCCTGCGGCTACAGGATGGGACAACAGAGTCTTCTGTTCCAGGTCTCTTCACTATAGAGTATCCCACTGTGCGGGAGGAGGCTGAATTTGCCCAGGCCAGGCTGAGACCTGGCACCACAGCTGAGCGCACCCCAAAGCTGAGCTTGCACCCCAGGGAACCCCTTCCCCACTTCCAGTCGGGCCAACCGGGCTCTGTGATGGAGGACTCTGTCCCTGAGCAGGCTGTGTCTGTGCCCACCAGCCCCATCCAGAAGAAGACGCTCAGAGTCCATGCCAAAGCCACAGCCACCTCCAGGTTGGCCTCATCCTTCACTTCCTCCACAGTGCAGGCTCTATGGTGGGCAGCGGCATGGACAGGACAGGGACAGACGGCTTGAGTCCTGGGGTGGGGAAATAGGGGATGAACATATGAACAAAGGGAATGATTTTAGACCATGATCAGGGGTGGGAAGAAAACATCAGAGTCATGTGTCAGCACAGGGCCTGGCGGTCAAGCTTCACTGCCTCTCCTTTTACGGACAAGCCAAGAATGGTTTTAACATTTGTAAGCACTTGGGGGAGGGTCAAAAGAATATTTTATGACACATGAGATGATAGGAAATTTACACCAGACGTGGTGGTGCATGCATGTAATTCCAGCACTCAGGAGGCTGAGGCAGGAGGAGCGCCACCAGTGTGAGGCCAGCCTGGGCCACAAGGTGAGACCCTGTCTAAGAAAACAAAAAAAAAAAAAGAAAAGAAATGATAGGCAATTCAATTGTCAGAGTCTGTCTATAAACTTTATGGGAACATAGCCACAGCCATCATTTGCACCCCCACATCTGCTTCCCAGGGCAGTGGCAATGGCCACTGTCCAGCAATGGGGACAAAGGCCACATGGCCTCCAGGGCCCTCCTCTCTGGGAAATGCTGGCTGACCCCCAGGACAGAGGACAGGCAGGGAACTGTGTGGGCCACAGCTAGCAAAGGCCTCAGGGAGACTTTACATCCAGGGCAGGAGGGTGCAAAGCAGGTGGCCACAGATTGGTGCAAGAGGACACAGGGGTGCAAAGGTAGCAACCGGGCATGTATGTGAGACCAGTGAGGAGGGTGCAGCACAAGGAAGGAGCCCAGGGTGGTGACCAGTCATGCAGTGCCACGGGAAGCCATTCCATAACATGTTTTGTTTTGGCTTTTTTTTTTTAAACCTGTATATTTTATTTATTTATTTAGGTTTTTTTCTTTTCTTTTGGGGGGGGGGTACCGGGAATGGAACTCAGGACCTTGCGCTTTCGAGGCAGGCACCGGAACCACTGAGCTAAATCCCCGGCCCCTTGTTTTGGCTTTTTGAGACAGGGTCTCCCTGTGCAGTCCAGACTGGCTTTGCACTCAACTATGTAGCCCAGGCCTAAAACTCAAGGCAACCCTCCCGCCTCAGCCTCCCAAGTGCTGGGATGACAGGCTTGTGCCACCATGTCCAACTGTTCCATAACTTAATAGAAGTGACCTCAGCTGATTGTTTTTTAATTTAAAAAGCTTAAAAATATATTCTTATACTTTAACTTTTTACAAACAAAATGCACACAGAAAAATGAACAAATTCTAGGTCACAGCTCTCTGAACATCACAGAGCGAACACAGAACCACTGAGTCAAATCAGGGTGTCACCAGTCCCTTGGGAGCCCCCTCTTCCACCCCTCACTCTCTCCACCTCCCCCTCCTCCCCAGACGGACGTTTCTAGCCCACAGTGCTGGGGGTTTTCAGTGGATCTGTTGGCTGTGTCCCCTTGGCATGCAGCAGCCCCGCTCAGCATGGTGACCATGTCATCTCTGCTGCACACTGTGTTCCTTCCGTAGCTGTGGTGTCACTGCACCAGGAGTCACACTGTGTTCTGAACCCATGGCTATAGGCTGTTTCTGGTGTGGGCGATGGCAGCCCTGCATGGCCCTTCCTGACCTTTGAGCATGTAGGGTGTCATGTGGCCATCACAGACCATGTCCAGCCTCTTGTACAGACACCACGGGGTGTCAGCTCTGCCCCTCCAGCATCACTCCACATCCTCACCTGGATTAACCATCCAATGACCACCATTTGGTAGGGTGAATTGTTTTCTTAATGATCAAATGTGGTTTCATTTGCATTTTCCTGATGATTGCAGTGGCTGAACACTTTCTGGCTTGTCCATTGGCCATTTGGGACATTCTCTTTTGTAAAGTGCCTCTTCAATTCTCTGGTCCATTTTTTTTCTATTGGGTTCCTTATCTTTTCTTCATTTATTTGTAGCAGTTCTGTATACTTTGTGGACATAATGTTTTCATCACTTATACATGTTGAAAAATAGTCCTTTCAATTTTACTCTGGTGATGGTGTCTACTGATGAACAGAAGTTGCTAAATGCCAATGTCCAAGTTGAAATCTTTTTCTGTATAATTGAGATTTTTTAAAGTCCTGTTTATGGACTTCCCCTAGTCAAACAGCACAATGACATTCTCTAATGTCACTTTCTACTAGCCTCAGTACTAATTTTCACATTTATTGCCATCCTCCATCTAGAAATTATCTTTGCATATGAGATGAAGTAGGGGCCCAGTTTTAATTTTTCCTATATGTATCTAATTGATCTATCATTAAAGTTTACAATTATCCTTCAGCTCTTATAAACTAAGGGGCTATCTATGTATAAATCAAAGGTCATTTTCTGGACTGCCTATTTTGTTCGCTTTGGTCCAATCAAATTGTCTTAATGATTACTTTACGATATACAGCAGAGTATCCCAATTTTGAGAATTTAAAATTGTTTTGTTATTAGCCTTTTAATTTTCCATGTAATTTTCAGAATCAGCCTGTAAACATTAAAAAAATGTCCTGGGACTAGGGTCTGGGATTTAGCTCAGTGGCAATGTGGCTGCCTCGCAAGCATAAGGTCCTGAGTTCAGTCCCTGGCATCAGAAAAAAAAATGTCCTGGGATTTCATATGGCTTGTTAACATCATTGGAATAGGTTAACCTAAGAACATGGGGTATCTTGTCATTTATTTAGATCTTCTTTAACCTCACTATAGTATTTTGTAGTTTTCACTTTTAAAAAAAATCTGTATCTGCTGTAAAGAGTTACTAATCATGTCTTTCATTATGGTCATCATCTCTGTAGTTATCTGAGAAACTATTTCTGATTTGATTTTTTGCTAGACCCTCATTCATCTGCTTTGTTATTTCCATTGTTACCACTTCAGAGAATTCAGGTGGGTGGGGTTAAAATTGTTGCACTTCATTGCTTACTGCATTTGCCTTTGGTGAGCTGGAAGGCTTGGATTGCATCTTACTTCTCATTTTCTATTTTTTTAGTTTAATTCCTGGGTTGATGCTTGTAAATTGCTTATGGCAAGTAGCTTTATCACTAGTATTTAGAACCCTTAGGAAATGACTACTTCTCAAAGATGTCTTCCAGGTGTACCTGGATTTTGGGTTTTGAGTCTGTTGCAAGATCCTACTTCTTCAATTTGTTGGGGATGAGAAGTTACTGCCTATTTGGTCCTGCCCCTGGTTCTTTGGCACTGGGCTACAGTATTGTTTATGACCCTTAGACAATCTCAGTATTGGTATACCAGGAAGAACAACCGATTAGAACAATTATGTCACTTTGGCTATAGTTCAATCAGCAATAACAATAGCATCAAGCATAGCCTAGAAAATGACAAACTGTGGTAACTATTGATTTGCCACTTTTAACTGTATGGACTAGATTTGTGGTTATATAACAAAATCTAAAACAAATCAGAAAATTGCATACAGTAAATATGTCCTCAGTATGGCAATTTTACCCTCGGGAGAAAATTCAAAGGGGGTTAGGGGGGAAAATAGAGAAATAGAAAAAGAGGAAGAGATTAGAAACAAGGCTGGAGGACAAAGGAAGATTACACAAACTTTGGGGAACTGGTGAAGAAGACAGGAGGGAAAGGGAGAAGGAAGAAATAAAAATAGGAACAACACAACAGCAACAAAAAACTAGAAACAATGTTCACACTTATATAAAAACAAGGACAGGGCTGGGGATTTAGCTTAGTGGTTCCACTGATTGCCTCAAAAGCACAAGGTCCTGAGTTTGATCCCCAGTACCAAAAAATAAATAAATAAATAAAATAAAAACAAGGACAATCAAGGAAAAGCAAAACAAAATAAAAACAAGACAAAGGGGGGAAAAAGTCCACTTCAAGGTTTTTTCAAGCATTTCTGCTGTCACTGGTAGACAAAGTGGGCACACAGAGTCCAAATCTGTGTTGATAAACCCCAGTAAGCCAGCTGTAGATTTACAGTGGGATAGTGGATAATCCCAGCAAGTCTGCACCTTTAGTACTAAAGCTCAGGCTGTTTTCTGGCTGTGAGGGTGGAACCTGATTTGCTGAGCCTGCAACACTCCGTGTGCCTCCTGCCAGCTTGAACTTGGCTCCCTACTGGCTTGAACTTGGTTCCTTAACCTTCTGCTGACTTGAACTTTGTTCTGCTGTAAGACTAAACAACAGTTACTCCATTTTGTAATAGGGCCCCAACTTGTCTGCTTCTGTTATGGATCACCAGGTAGACATCGAGTTCCAGGGATGTGCTTGTTGTTGTGCCAGGAAGGTCTGTTGTGTGCGCAGTGTTCCGTCATGCTTGCCCAACTCCATATCTGAATATGTTATCTTAAGGACAATCTGTAAAAGGTCTGTTTTATCTCTCTCCTCTGCTTTTGTATTTCTGCTTGCCAACTTCCCCTGCGACCCCCTATAAAAACAGCCTCGGACTCTGAGCCAGTGGACTCTCTAAGCTACTTTGCTTTGGGAGTGCTGTCTGGCCAGACTAATAAAGGTCTGTTTTACTTTCCAACTTGTCCAGTGTGTTCCCTCCCAGGTGATCTTTGCTGTAGTCAGCTCCTCAGAGCGTTTGGTAAGACCCACGGTCTTACACTGCCTCACCCTGGTGGGGCCAGCCTGCAGCTGCTCTTAGTTCTGAGCTCAATTGGCCCCTCTCCAAGATGGCTACCAGCCAATTGCCCTCTCTTGGGGTACATCTGAGCCCAAATAACTCACCAGCCACTGCAGACTGCTGTATCCACTGCTCTGTTCCACTGGTGCATTTCTCCATGGAGGCCTCTGAGTTCACCAGTGGTCATCATGCATGTGTAGGTTTGAGCCGCCCTTCCCACACAGTGAGTCAGGGCTCAGGAAGAAAGTGCCACTTGCTCCCTCCTCCTTCTGCATCCAAGTCATTCTCTTCACTCTCCCCATGGACTTCAATTCTTGCTTTAGATCCTTGCTGGGTCCTGGCAACCCACTTCCTT